CAAGTATGTTCTAGATTCGTCAACCCCTTCTATAGCGCTAAGCTCACCAATGCTTTTTCTGAGCATCCACGAGTTCGAATTAAGTTGCTCAAATTTATTACACTGTTTACACAACTTGCGCCCTCTTATTGTTTTTGGAATTTGCAAACGATACTAACTGCGTTAAACGTATATGTTAAGTTCGCAAGCATCTCAAAAAAGTTAAACTGTTTGTAATTTGAAGGCAATTATGCTTAACTGACCCAGTTTAATTCAGTTGTTATATTCCAGTAAGGAAAAGGTTAAAAGTTAAGGCAGTGCCTGAGGATTCAACATCTTATATATGGACACAGGTTGAAACTAGTACAAGTAACTGAGTAGTTCTAACATGATTTCATTAATCCCAGTTCTCATTCTTGATAACTATTGCGAATTTCTGCTTAACTCTTAACTAGTCTGTTCATGTAAAATATCTATATCAAACAAGCAAAGCTGGACATGATCAAATTGAAGCTAATCTCGACACCAGATAAACGTTTTTCAAGTCATTACATGAATAACTTAAAACAATCAAGATTACCAAAATGGAAATAGGAGTGATCGACTTGCACAATGAAACTACTAGCTCTCAAATGTATATGCTAGAAAATATTTTCGCACAATTTCACATAGGTATTTAAACTTTGTTCAACAAAATAATTGACACGATCACCTCACATTGATCGGTCATAGTCTGTCTTGTTTCTTAGTGTTTTCAAACTTCAGATGAAATAACTGTGATCAAAATCATAGAAATATATATGCATTGTTTGTGTACTCCTTACACACATAAGCACAATAAAATTAGCTATATGAATGCTACACAACACCATGATAAGCAAAATAATAATCAGCTAATACCTTCAAGTGGATAATCTGATTTATCCCTCAATTCAAAGATCGCTGATCTTACCAATTAATTGAATGAGAAAACGATTCACCTCTCGTATGTCTGAAATCAAATAATGAACTTAAAGCAACACAGCACTACCAAATGAATTCATCGTTTACATTTCAGTATTATCAGCAAAGCTGAGTAAATCAAAATATTCACGCTTATATTATTTTTCACATATTTCCATGAATTAACATATCTATATTACCTTTGAAGAGACAAGATTGTTTGATGGTGTTTAGACTAACGGTGCTCTACAGCGAGCTGGTAAAGTGCTAACCATTGTTCCTTCACTCAGATACAGCTATACATTTACGGTTAAACTTATGATATTGGATTTGCAATTATGGCTGGCCTCCAATGTATCTAGATTTCAAACTGAAATACAAAAGGAAGCAAAATGAATGGTGAAGGGGCAACCGACATTCATATCGGTAGAATGTTCATGTTAATGGTTATTTGGAAAGGTGACAGTCTTGAAATAGTTGATCCTACTCCTAAGTTATACTGGAGGTATGAGAAGAACACACTCATTGCTTTCATCACACCTGAATTTAGCAGTAGGTGGAATCAAGGTGACTATCGGATTGTAAAATGAACTGAACAGGCTCACTGAAAACTATTAATCTTGAATAAATACCCACACTTTGAAAGTCGGCAAAGTGTTTAAGCAGTACAAATAGTAGCTTAACTAACATGACACAAGATTTAAATAATGAAATCAAACAAATGAGAAAAATACGATTAGCGAATAACTCTCTGACCACAAAATTATATTTTAAAATGTACTAAGATCCAGCTTCTCGTATATATTTCACTTCATGTAAAACATTTTACTTCGTACTACTTGGCTGTTTGCCCTCCAATAAAATTCCTGTGAAAATCTAAATTCGGATACACGAAATCGACGAAATGATTCACACGGTGATGGTGTAAATCTGGCCTTCGTATCAAATTAGATAGCTTCCCCTTAAATGACCCTTCTCTGAATCTGTACTGACATTCCCAAATGGGTGATGTCTAATTCAGATATATTATATATTGCTGACTCCTCAGCGACTACTTCCAGATTCCAGTTAGTCAGAATATCATTACATAAACTCGTAGGTTCAATTCAAGCACAGTTATTCTAATTCTTGAAATTTGTTAATACATAATCTCACAATGAACAATTTGACTCACCTAACTTTTTGGGATTACCGTTTCTGATAGCAATCAGATGACTAATATGAATCCGTCTATTTATCTTTTAACTATTAACGGCAAATATTCAGTTTCATTGGAAACATCAGACACATGACTATTGGATCATCCTTTAATTCATTGATTAACTGAATAAATGACTTTCGATATTGAAACTTTAAAGCCTCAATAGGTTTATCCAACCAAGAACAGTCTTATGAGGAATACTGTAAATGCTTTAGCGATATTTTTCATGAATAAACATGGTTTTGTGTGTATATATATGCGTGTGTGCGAGTTTCCAAACATCACATATAACTTGCCAACTGTGACAAACATTGTTCTTTTTGAAATGTAATAACACTAAGAAACAACGCGCACTATGAACATTAAACATGGATGATATTGTCGATAATTTTGTTGAACAATGCTAACGTATATATGGGATATTAAGTGTATACTTTGATACACATGGATTATCGCTAAGGAATTTCATAATGTAAACTAATTCCCACCATTTCCATTTTGATACTTTTGGCTGTTTCGGATTAATTTCCAGCGTATCTGGTTTCAAATGCAGTTTTGTGTTGATAATGACCGAAATGATAGCGACGAAAACCAAAGCGATTCGATCTGAAATCTGACAAGCAATATTCCTGTCCTACTGTACTCTTGACCCAAACCTTCTTGAGTAATGAACAGTTCGAAAAACATTCCGACGATAATAGGAGATTTATTTTCAATAAAATTGATGAACTATTCAACGGTTATAATGCATCTGAAACTCAGAATTACCTGGATAATGCCGTAAGGTATGCCAGAGAATACAGATCAAAGAATTTCCAGCAAAAGCGCACAACACGGCAATATTAGTAAACCAAATATCAACTGCAAGATTTACCGAACAAAGACGTAGACTGTTCTGAACATGGTGGTACCAAAACTCTAGCAACAATTATCATATATTAAACAATTCTCACACGCACTCCAAGGCTAGAATGACTTTCACTCACTGGAGCAAAATCGGTCATTAATTAACATATCAGTATCATCAGCCACCCACTAAGAAGAATATTAAAATTTTACATTTAACCGGGACAAAGACAAATAACGTACATTAAATCAGTGGATGAAATGCAAACGTCAGAAGAATGATGCACAGTCTTGGAGAAAAAAGAGATAATTATTAAAAAGTTTGTTGTACGGTTTGCTTAGGAAGGAAAATAGGAATTTGAGATGAGTATGAATAATGAGAATACCGTGGAGTGACATCCATTATTAACACAATGCATTACGTGGCAAAGTGAATTCACTTCCAATAAATGAAACAAAATTTCAAAAGCTGAACAACCCAACAGATCGAGACGAAAAGGCTGAAAAGCATCTCACAAACAAACACGCTGAGAGGAGCTTAAAAAAGGAGTCTTCTCAGAGGCATCCTACAACCGTGTTCAACGTACTTGAAGTAATCCTTCACGATTTTACGGTCTGCCCACAGGAAATTATTCTTATATTTAGATTGCAGTCTATTGGTTTTCTCACAGTTTTCCTGAATCTAAAGCAAGTAGTTTTTATTTTATGAATTTCGACAACACAATAAGAAGACGCAGAAAACTTATTTGAAGCATGTAATGCAGTGTGTACTTGCGCAACACAAGAACTTGTTATGTACAGTTTTAAAAAAGGCAAGAGGTTGCATGTGTCATTACAATGCAGGCCAGACTGTGAAGCTCACAACCATTGAGTAGGGAGATAACAAAGAAAAGGTTGAAAATATTATGAAGCATATTCGATTACAGAGGCAGGTTTCAAGTAATTACAAATAACTTTTCAACACGTAAGACTGACAGTTTTAGGACTTTTCACAGCTAAGTCTTCAACAAATTTAAGTTTGTGGCCAAACCTTGTCTTATATTTGGGTTTAAATGCATTCCTGAAATCAGCCTTATGACCTGCCTCTATAACGTGATTTGCTGTAGATGATGTCAGACGTATCTGGGATCAGTTGTATATGCATATTTAATTTGTTGTTGTCGTAGCCACTTTGTAATATGATGTGTAGCCCTAGGCGGGAGAGACCGATGAGTCCTCCTGCCAATGTACGTGTGTTCACACATACATGTAAAGTGATAAACAAAATGAGGTGTGACTCTATCGTTCGGATATCAGAGTGGGGGTTTACACGACAGCAAAGTTCTCTATGAAAATAAATTTAACAGTATAAACATTTCTATGAATTACCACCTTGAGTCTTTGGTTACCGATCGAACCTTATTGGTCACCCATGAACGTTAGGTATATATAAACCTTCTTTTATAGGATCGAATTGGATTGGTAGAACTTTTTAGTTAACATTTCCTTAATGGCCAATACATCTCAGTGGGTTTTTCTTTTAGTGTAAAGTTGTCTTTCTTCTTCAATTTTTTGTCAGCAGTACATATACAGTGAGTGCATTTGAAAAAACACTTAACCAATGTCTTTTCATATTGTAGAGGAAAGATACAATGATAATTTAGACACTCTCTGTTCTTTTGAATAGTTTGGTATATAAAAATGGCGAAGATAATGATTATTTATGTGTGTGTGTCTGCACCTCTATCTCTCCGTTTAAATGTGTTACATGCTGTCAGTGTCCTAAAGTCTATTGCATCATCAATCGATTCGTTTTATCTGGATAAATTCATTCACTAATGTAACTCCTAAGGCATTACACAAATTGAAATAAACGATACATAAACGTCTAAGATAACAAACAATCAATAATGATAAACACTTGAGTTACATACACACGCACACATATGTTGCCCTTAATTTGCGATTTGTACAGAATTGGCTCACCTATCAGCCTACACGTTCGCTGACACTTTGCACACACTTCATAGAACAAGTGAGATTTAGGGTGTGTGCTGAGACCACTGCTGTCCTACGGAAAAGATATCTGAATGACTGAATTATTGAATTATTAATCACGACGAACGTGTTCTGTTTCACAAAAATGAAAACTTTGTTAAATACTACGAATAAAATGCAATCAATTCGTTTTGTAGTGTACTCAATACTCCACGTGATCATTTTGTACGTTCTCGTTTGTTCTGTTAGTGACGAAAACGTTCGTGCTGAAAGTCTCTTGTAAGTGATACTAGACAAAATTGATTTATATTTGATATTGCTTTAGCCTGGTACTGTTAACATGTGATGTTTGGTTTGTGTCACTTCCACGCACACGCACTGATTGCTGAGCGTGTTCATTTCTCGTTTAATCTCCTTTAAATTGAATAGCTATTTGTCGGATATCATTAGTCTGCCAGTGGTGTAATCTGAATGATCTTAAGTGAGATCCATCAAAATGTCAGACTGTTGACTCTTCCTTTAGACCTTAACGTGATCTTCAACAACTGGTTAGTATATATAATGCTTGTAGCACAGAGGAGACTGGAGTACAAACTACGTGTAACACAAACTACCTTGGTATAATTCTATCCTCTGATCTTACTTGACTAGTCATCCTTTATTTTATCGATCTCCAAGAAAATATCTCATCTGAGCTGCTACATTAAGAAGCTAAGACAATCTGGAATCACTCAACTCGCTCTACTTTGACAATTTGTTAACTCTTGTATTATACCTACTGTACTTTAGTGGTCGACAACCCACCACACCCCACCTTAGTATTTCCTGGGCTACTTCATAAAAAAGGACTATGTCATTTTGAGAAGAAGCGCATTAAAATTGTGGTGGTGTGCAACTTAGCCTCTCAGCTTGTCACTACATTAGTTAATTGATAGGCATCTGAATAACTCACGCCAGAAATGGTCTTAATCCACATTAACCGAAATTCAACACCCAAAGTAGCCCCTATTTTCTCAAGTCTTCCCGCCTTTTATCGCTTGTATCTCGTCTGGTAGAACTATAAGTCAGTACAAAAGATGATTTTCTCGTTCTACTGAGTATAGGAACTGAATGACCCAGTGTTTGCCCAACCCTTGTTCTATGCGATATAAACAATGTTAGGCGTGAAACCTTTGAATGACTATGACGTTAGCAAAATAATCGGCTCTTCTATTTGCTATCTCCTATTCGTAAGCTATGGTGAGTTTGTCTTTTCAATGAATCTGACGATCTTGCCTACTGACATTATTACCATTATCAATAAAGATTAGACTTTTTACGTATTTGTATGAATTCACTATCATACCAATACCAAAGGAGAGCTGCCATTAACAATCAATCCATCGTTGTATTATTATCTTTATGATTGTTTTTAATATTATTCGAAAAAATTACATGGAATATCGAACGAAATGTTGAGAACTCCACACTGTGTGCAGATAGAATCAAGAGGATACCAACAAATATTCGTGGACTAGTCATCAGTTGCTACTAACAGCCTCCAAACCAACTTAAAATCCTTGCAAATATGATATACATAGCAGCAGTTAACAAGGCACTTCAAACTCAATGAACAGTGTTCAGAAATCACTCTTGTATAGTATTTTCCCTTGAGCGTTCACCACGATAAGTGGTTGATAAGAATAAAACCAAAAGGATTAAGAATTAGGGAAAGGTATGATATGAATAAGATGATGGATGAGTAATTCTGTGATGAGTTCAACTCATACCATAGAAACAAGGGACAAGCAGTGTTACAGGGTATAAAATGAAGAAGCTGTTAAAGCTGTAGACAACGTATTCAAGTGAAAGATAGAGAGTGGGGGATAGTGAAGATATCCAGTTACCAGGCATGGCAGGGCGAGGAAACACTGGTGATAACTGCTTCTTTTGAACACACATAAATCGTGTTTCAGGCGTTTGAATACGATTACCTCGGTAGGCAAACATGAAGGAAAGTGAGCTATTATGTCTATTATTGATTTTGAATAATTCCATAATGTCCAACTCACGACCCGTTTTGATAAGATATCTAGTAATGGCACTGCAGTAATCTTTGTTTCCTTGAGACAAATGCTCCACGTGTTATCTTCAGAAAATTGAAGTTTTATCCTCTCCTCTGTTCTCCTAATGTTTCTGACTATGTCAAGAGGGCAGAGCTTCATGTCAATTTGTGCATACAGTTGGAGTGGCTTACATGAGGATAGTATCCGCCGTTGCATGATTGCACCAATGAAATCGGTAGTTTTCAAGGTCATTTTAAACATACAAATTCGCAAGCACAGTCAACCTTCTGTTTTGACTGTTGTTTCTAGACAGTAGAAGCCCTATTACCGACATTCAGTCTTATCTTCTATCTTTTGCGGCCTGGTGGTATTATTATTATTGTTGTTTTTGTTGTTGACATACAATTAGGACAAATTAGCCAGCGCATAAAGTTAGTATTCGCTCATAGTCTACTAGGTCTCAGCTCCGTTCGTGACATGTATTATAAGGCTCTTGTTAATTAACATCGTGTAGCTTCGTATTACTTTTATGTGACTTCTCTAACTAGGCTTTTAAACATTCACCCCAAAACCATTTGCCAATAATTATCTTAATGATTATGATTATAATAATAAAATTACCAGACAAAGGATACCCACCCTTTCGATAACCTACACTTTATCGTCATCATCATCATCATCAGATTCTTCACAGTTACGTATCCATCCATTCGTACATCCATAATAGTGGATGAAAGAATTAGTGTTATAAACAATATTAATGTCATTGTTCAGAATAACAGCGAATCAATCATTAGCAGTAGTGATAGTGTGAATAGACTGCAACTGAACACCAGCTCTATGTGTGTTCATATGCATCAGCATGAAACTGCATGCTGAATAAATATTAGACAATCCAGGAACAGTATTAATAATAATAATAATACAAATTCATGAATTTAAAGGCTGTAGACATAGAAGGCCGGTCAGCGTTGTATAAGCAGGGGTGTCTGGCTGGTTAGATAGACTTGTTTCATCTGCGCACCCACATACTTAAGAATACTGGTCTTTTCGGAGAAAAACACAGTGAAAACTCAGTTCACTGAAGTGTACTCTGCTGCTAGTGGTTTCACGTGTGAAGAGGAATCCCAAAATAGAATGAATTATCTTCCTAGATGTCCTCGTCACAAGAAAACCTGATGGTTGTAAAAAAAGAAAAAAAATTGCACACAAGAATATTATGTGAACAGGACAGTATACACATTTTCACAGCTTCCCTCCCCCCCAGTACAAAAAAATTCAGTGAGGACCTGACTCAGCTACAGGTTCAAAGTTATATGCTCAAAAAATGTAACTGAAGATGAACTTGGCATAGCATATGACACCCTAATTGAAAATGGCTATCCAGAAAAGTTCATCAGAAATAACATGACCAAGAAAGTAAAAAATGAATATTCACACTCGGTGAACAAAAAACATTCACACTTTTACCACTGAAATTCAAGGACGATATACCTGGCAAAATAATTACGAAGAAGTTAAGAAAATCTAATCACAGGAATATTAACTCTGGTAAACTACAAGTTGTATTGTCAACACGACCGGTGTGATTCCTTGATTGAAAGATGAAGTATTAGGAGTAGCTGGTCACATTTAATCTCATCTACCAATCCTACTGCGTTTGTGATTTATATTGGCCAATGCTCTTAGAACTTGGCTTTTGTGTTTAATCGGATAAACCTACCAGTGTGATGTGGCTTAACAGAGGCATAGTGAAAAACATCAACAGTTCGATATTACACGGCCTGGTCCAGACCGACAGGCCACACAGCTAATATTGAATAATCCTTCTCCATCATCATATATCAGCTACTAAACAAATCGCCAAAAGCATTCAGGAACAAAATACTCGGAACAAATAGCCTAAAACAAAAGGTACTCTGTTTATGTGTGGAGACGAAACAGGTCCAACTAGCCAGCCTCTTTTGCTACTACTATTACTTTGGCCGGCCTTCTCTCTCTGCAGCCTATAAATTCATGAATTTGTATTATTGTTATTATTTATCATTATTTCCTCTAATTACTAGAGGAACATAGGGCTTCAGATTATTGTTATTACTATCCCTAATTTGTCTGATATTCATTGTGTTAAGTGTCATGTTAATGCTGTCGTACTGTAATCCATTGATATCATTAATATTCTCATTGATTCGATGTTATTTAAACAACGTAATTCACCCTGTGAATAACTCCAATTGATTCATTCCGTATTGTGGATGAATGTAACTTTAGAAACTGATGATGATGATGAAGAGCAGGTGATTGAAAATGTGAGTATTGTCTGTTGAATAATCAATCTTATTTGAAATGTTTTTTCTGGACAAGTTTGATGAGTAAAATGATGAATGTCTTCTTCTCAGTCATCAGGTATATTACAAGGATGGCGTGTGCAAGCAGATCGACGCTGCTATTCGAGTAAGTAAATTTAATTGACCATTTTGATTTTCCGTGGATTGATTGGACCGAAGTGCCCGGTCTCAGGTGGCTCTCATGGCCCAAGTGGTCTAGTGGATAACGCTTCTGAGTTTGAAACTATGGGCACTGGGTTCGAGCCTCTCACCCACTGAGAAATGCAGGTACATCCAGGAGACGAGTCCCAAATAGGACGAAATGCGCATCCTGGATTCCACTGTTAGTCACCATCCAACAATTAAATTCGATTAAGTAAATGTTCGTTTTCTTAATGTTTTGTTGTGTTGTAGAGTGTAAAGAGATAACTGCGCATCCATTTTGTAAGATTCTGTTTGGTCTTATGGGTGCGGTGGGATGGGTGGCTGGTTTTGGATCAAGGAGGTGTTTCAAGGTGTATCCTTCATCCTCACTGAATAATACAAATGAAAAGATGATTTATTAAGCGGTGGGTGCACATGTGAGTGTACCTGAGTTTCTAGTAGGTAGTCGTGACTAGTTAGGTGCATCAGGTCGGCTGTGAGGACAAACACTAGCCTAAAAATTGGCTATGGAATGAGACTAGCAACCTCACCCCGTGAGATAGACGCCACTGCCACTGAAACGTGTTCTGGCTTGAAGCCCTATGTTCCACTGGGAACGTAAAGGAATAAACAAAATTCTTTGGGGTAATAGAATAAGATAAGGGTTTGAAAATCTAATATAACAGAGAGGAGATGGAAGGACTGCTAACTGTTTGAGTCTTTATCTGTTGAATCGACCGAGACGGTGGAATGCGTCCAATAGGAGTGATTCAACTTCTGTCCACTTTGACATCTGGAAAATCCTACTGTAAACTGTGACCTTCGGCGAAGATGTCGGAATAAAGATAACTGAGAAACGGTATTTTGAAAGTTTGTGTGATTATAAATGATGAAATGATAATGAAAAATAGGCAAATTGTTTTCGAAAGACTTTGTCATCCAGCGATGAATAATACTGTTTGACTGACTGGATATTTGTGTGATATATAACCAACAAATTAATATAGTACTTTTACTGTGAATTTCTCTGATCAGTTATTTAATTTTTTCGGGGAAGTTAATCAATTTCACACAAACTCTGCACAATTAGAAACAAAGGGTGGTTGATTTTCTTTCTCATATTTTCTACTGCCTACAGGAAATTTGTTCAGTAGATGTCCCACCGAAATTTGATACTGAAAACGACAACATTTTGGTACCTTTAGGTCACCGACTATACGAAAATGAACTCCTGAATGTTGACAACATTCAGTGAACGCCTACCTGTGTCAAGTAGAATATCTCATGATGCTCCGATCGTAATCATGTTAAGAAGTCGACTTTCTGAAATAAATTCCGCTTAATCTCATCAATGCTGTTCTTGGTTACATTAACTGTGGTGTGGTGGGGGAGCGGATAGCTAGAATGACTTTCTTACCTCCTTTATTTGAATATATATATATATATATATATCCATTCGATAGTGAATGATGCTCACGGGGAAATGATTTTTTGTTAATCTTGCTGCACGCACGTAGATAACAAGGAGTCTTTTAAAACGTGCTTTTTAAAAGATCAGGTACGCACACACACCATAAAGCAGCCTTTTGAATGTAAAAGACCACATGCCTAAGGATTCTCTATCTTAGTGTGCGTACAAAATAAATGCCTGGAATGTGATGGGATAATATATATCGCACAAACGTTGCAAGAGAAAAATCAAGGTAATCAGAAAAAATGAACACCTTAGAGCATCTGTTCGACCAGCGAGAAATTCGGTTGAACTAGAAAAGCTAGGAAAATCATCAGCTGTATGTCGTCTACACACTACGCCATAAAATCAGGTCACAAAATTGACTCTTACAATATTGATATCATCATCCAGAAGAACTTCAGAAATGAAAAAGTATTTCTTATATGAGAAGGACTTCAAATGAAATGGAATTCACACTGTCTGATGAATAGCAGTGATGCACTGAAGACAGAATTTAACCTGATTACAACAACCTTGGTTTCTAGCATGAAGTGACATGATCAACACAAATATGATAATTGATTTTCATCATGTAAGCGCATGCTGCTTTTTTATAATTGCATAGTATCATAATGTCGGATACCGAGTCTGTCTGCAGAGGTGTAGGATGAGTTCATTTTCACCTCAATATAATTACGTGAATTTGGAGTCCTCGAGTGTTAGACATGTATTTTGCTGATTATCTCCGTCATTGTTCATCGATGGCATCGGTTTATGAACCTTGTTCGGCGAATCCGCTTACAATATGCATCACTTTGACCAATGATGTGGCATGATTTTACGTAGTGCCAAGCCATACAATGCCAATATGCTAAAAGGAAGAGTCGACTGCTGACTATGCTGTGAGTAAGACGTCGACGGTACTGGATGCAACGCATTTAATTCGACTTCATTATCGACATAAAGACGGATGAGCGTGATACCTTTCGAAGTTTGGCTAGACACTAATATAATTCACCAATGAATTTCAAACTTCATTTGCAGGTGTTGTTCAATTCTGTTCAACAATCGAATTCTTATACCTGAGAAGTTGGTTGACCACAGACCACAAAAGAAGATAAGAAATTTGAATAGGTCTTCCGAGCTGACTTTAACTTGAAACATTCACATCAGCGGTACGCAATACCAATCTGAGTGCGAATGTCGTCGTCCTCTTTGAGTACAAGTTTCATGCAGTGGTAAGGGAAGTTGAACAACGACCTGTGGTCACGAAACTACTGACAGTGTGCTTGGAGGACAGTCTCATCAAACGTTCTACCACAGGTCTTCTGGGGTGGAATCAGGTTGCAGTATTTATCCACCTCTGCTGCACTCAACCTCTGCAGTTAGAAATTCAATGCATTTCATACATCGTTAGTACTCGCGAAGTCCATTCAGTATAGGTCTTCGTATCTGCAGAACCACCTGTGGAATGTAACGTTTGAATTTGGGTGATACACGGATTCAGAGATGCTGCTAACGATAGGGTAATTAGCTGGAGACGAAATTCGTAGACTAGCAAGCAACTGTATCAATTTTAGTTGGTGCTCTATCAGTTTCTTTAAATGTGAAAACTTCATTTGAACGTTTTTCATCCGTCCTCAACTCTGATACACATAAGCAATGCTGAAGGTCTTGCAAAATATTAAACACGAACTTTCAATGAACATACAGGTGTACAGTGGCCATGAAAATGTATCTAGTGAATACTGTCCTTTTACAGCGTGATATTTTACACTCTCTTTACAAGGTTTAAATACACGCTGATTGGATTAATTATCACGATGACTGAGATAATTCATAATGTGGCGTCTATAGTGACTTATCTACGACACTTGAAGTTAATACACTCATTGACTTACGGTGTCTCTAGCTGTCAGTTTCCTCAAGCAGGTTTCAGAGAACAAAGATGCATCTAGTTATGTGATTATGTATTATCTGAAAGGAGTCAGAAATCCTAATATATATGCAGCAGTCAGAAATCTGACTACTAATTTTTAGTTAATTATTTTCTTTATTACAGCTTGATTTCACACAGTATTTTCAAACATGTGTAGAATGTTTAGCATGTGATATCGGTAGCCCAAATTTAGCAGGCCGACCCTTGGTACCAGGTGTGCATCGGCCGCAGATCGAACCCCGGATCACGAACATGGTCCGCGGGCATCCTAACCGTTGTGCCACCAACGCAGGTTAATCATACTGTAAGATTATGTGTGTTGTGCATTCGACGAATAGTGTTTGTCAAATTATAGTCTGTCATGGTAAATAAGTCACCGTCTGTAGAATCACTAATTTGAATTCAATATTGATCATGATCAATAGGTTATATGGTCTGTTAAGTGAACTCTCTCCTTTCGAATGTTAGGAGTGTGATATTGTCTGTGAATAAGGATATGATCAGGATAAATCACAAGGTATCTGAAAGATTAATATTCGTTTAAGTTAAGGTTGATTTTAGAAGTTAAACCAAAATGAATTTGTCTACTTGTTTATAATGTTAACCGGAAAACAAATCACCACCATCATTAACAATATCATGCAAAGAACAACCTGCTAGTGGACACCAATCCTCCAACCAAGAGAGCGGAAATCTTGAATGCAACCAAACTTTTGAAGATCGAAGAGGCAGCAGAGTCAGATGGATTTTTCCTCCTAATAACTGAAAACGGACACGGACACTGTGACGAATATGCTCACGTTATTTTTCCAAAACATTTGAAAGGAAACTAAGGTGCGTGCTGAACAGCAGAAAGGCTACCTTGTCAAGCTACCAAAGGAGGTAGACTTATGCCTCACTCTGCAAGGACTGGAATGGAATGATGATTGTGTCCACGATAAGTAAAATACTTAGTGGCGTCATCCTGGAGACAGAAAGAGAGAGACTAGAATTTACACTACACAGCCCCAATGGAACTAACTAGCTGGATTGAGTTAAGACAAATCACGTGCTGATCGAATTGAGACCTGGCGCGATTGTTCTTTCCAAAACACTGAAATACATTGAGCACGAAACTAAGTCGTAAAGCTTCTAGAGGACATCCTGAAAACGGTGAGAGTCGTGCGAGTTGCTGCAATTCCCAAATATACCATCTTGTCATCAGAATACAACATAATCCAGGTACTCCACGGTCTGAATTTTGTAAGTGCACATCAAAAAGGACTGTTGTGGTACACGTTCAGACGAAGAAATCCACTTCCATCTAAAAAACTTGGTGTGAACAGATTGTAACAACCTACTGACCTGATGAAACTTCAGAAATGTGAAATAGTTTAAGAGTTACCACACACGCTTTGCTGCGTTTTTTCTTCACTCTGGCTATCTTATCCACATATCAGAGCTGCAATAAACGAATATATTCGAATTTAAAACGACTGAAATTGATTTTCCTTAGAAATAGCTGTTTGAAGCGAAGAGAAGCAGAAAGTGACTTGATCGTGTCAGCGAGCCCCAGTAAAACGAATAACAATTAGATAGGGTTCAACAAGGATAGTCGATGTTGTGCAATTAAATTAGCTTACCTATTTTACCCCACTAGATGCATTGGTCCACCTTTCACATTGGATGTTTCCTTTTTAGGAACCCTCTGTCACTACTTTGCCGCTCACTTCCACTGCGACGCACCCTCAAGAAATGAGATGTGATTCTTTCCCTTTACATCAGTTGCAACTATGACTGACCATTGCGGCATATAAAAGTGCCGACGTAATCGTCTGTTCCTTCGATATTGCATCCAACTCACCTCTTCCAGACGAACAGAGAAAACATCATTTTTAATGCTGAAGGGACAGTAGTTGTGTGGACTGAATAACTGTTAACATAACGTAACATTATTTGTATTGTATGTGCGAGAGCAGTGCATGCATACGAAGTTACATTGCTGAAGATATTTTTGTCACCTAGCTTTCTGGTCTTCAGGTCTAGTCATATACGTCATGTAACCATTGGAGTATATTTTTTTCTGTTCTAAGCAAACATGATTTACTCAAAGGATGAATGACACACATTTCTTCATTGGAAATACAATAGCGTCTTTCTGCTCAACTCATTGAACGACTAATTTATTTAATCATATCTCTCCCGTTTTCAATAACGTTAAATGCGGTAATACGTTGGCATTTCACGAAATGACAATACTATGGTGCTAAATGGACAAAATCATGCATCCTTCTCGCAGAATTAGGATAACAGAAGACCACCATTTGATGTGCAGCAGACCAGATGAAAACACTGTCATGTATTATCGTGAGCAGAATTCATAAGTTCAAGAGGAATTATCCTTTAAGGATGTCAAATTTAATTAGATTAGAAAGAAAAGACTTACTAAGGGATGAGTTACCAGGCTAACTGAAGTCCAACGACAAATTCCTATCCGATACACAGCCGAGGTCTCAGCTAATTAATTGCAACAGTGACAGCAAACCTCAGAAGACTTGCGCTATCTTGTCTGTTAATTATTTCGGATGATGGCAGCGCGTCTACTCGATGTCCTGAGTATATGGGACGTTTGTTAACTGAAGTGCTTAAGCTGACTAACTAATTTAGGCAGCAGCTATCCGAAACATAATCGGAGAATCTAACTAATGCCTCTCTTTCTGTTCCCCACAATATAACTAGTTTTACTTATCGACCTTTGACTACACCAACGAGGAGAATGGTCTGTGTAGAAGAACCAGTTTTACTGCAGGATATGTCCTGCACAGGACTGTGCTTAATCGTTTTTTACAGTTCTCATAATATCATCTCCTGTGAAGTCAAGTTCTATAAGAATTGGCCTCTTGCTGACCGAGGTTGCATCGGGTGTCTTACGTTCACTCTTGCCGTATCTATTAATGAAGTTTTCTGGGTTTCCATTCTACATCATTTGGCTTATGAATTTCCGGTGTGAAATACTATGCGCAATTGCTGCATATATTTACACGACAATCCATTTTTTGTTCGTTAGTAGAGTTTATTTTGACTAGTTTAAAAACCAAAATCTTTGTACTGAAGTAATTATGTCTTAATTGTGAGTATTTCTTAACATTATATAGTGAATTCAAAGTACAGCTGTATACAAATATTTCAGACACAATATCAGTGATTTGATGAAACATATTAAGGTGGGTGATTGCATATTATAATGATCACCAATGTGATAAACGATAATATTTTGCTAGCAAATTATACACTTTATTTGATAGATCAATACATTCAAATACTCGAAAGTCGAAGAAGTATATTCAACTTGAGATAACAATAAAGTGTTAAAGATATATAATGGAAATGACTCCACCAATGCTTTTTGTTAGGAATTTTCTATTAAGGGCATCCTGCTGACGAAGTGCACACATACTTTATCACAAATAATATGGGTTTGTGCAATAGTTCAAGAGGCATTGAATTATACTGTGATTCTTTGTTATTCATATGAGCAGAAGTCATCATTGCACATAAAATATATCTCGACTCACAGAGAAGTCATCAGACACACACTGTGACAGAAATAAAGAAAAGAAAAAAAACACCAGTTCTTACCAGTGATATTGGACTTTATTTGGATCAAGCTATGTGTACAGAAATGGAATATACCAGTTAATCAACATCTCTCTTCCTATTGAATTTATTAAGCCAAGGTTTTGCTCAATTATTTCAATGAAAATGTTAGTTAATTTCATAAACAATTTTACAAAACAAACTCTAACCAATATATGGTCTTATGTATAAATAAGTATCGAATAATAGTTAACACGGAATTCCAGATCTTCGGAAAGAAGCTTCTTGTGGATGCTTTCATCGTTCCATAGCAAAGTTGATTGATATGGTCAGATATAACAAAATTATCAAAGCCCAGGTAATCAGAGCCAATTTAACTGGTAAAGCAGTGATTCTTGACTTCTGAGAACAAAGTTTTAAACCTTGTGCCGTTAGAAATAATGCCTGTTACAAGCAGAATAAAAATAAAAATGAAATAAAACCAGATGTCAAATAAAAAAACAATGAGGCAATCGTCTCAGGACTAATGAAGACCATCAGTGAGTTTCAACGCTGGTGCAGAGAACCATACTGACAAACCTCAGTTTTCACCATTCTACACAAAGTGCCTAGCCCATTTATGACAGTCATTACATTATATGTGCAGAAAGAGGAGGTTTATTTAGTTTTTATGTCATCCAATATCCTTTGATTCTGTCATTACAATTATTATAATTGTTACAATCAATCTGTTACTGTTATTATCGCTTTGAATATCATCCACTCAGTTAATTCCCACAGTTAAAATTTTTGCATCGTTTGTCCTTATTTACTGCGTTGTCATTGGATTCGGGGTTTTCAGACATCAGGAGGTGCAAAATAAGTCTGGAAATTATAATGAATTTTGATGAGGCTATTTCCAGCCAAGTAAATATTTACCCCCAACGTACTTTTTGACAAACAGAAGTTTCGAAAACTCCTCCTGCTGAAAAATGATATCTATAAAACTCTATATTTTGTGTTGTCAAACAACCTGAACATTAAGGAAAAGGTTATGTGCTCAATCAACATAGAGTCTTTATTCAACAACGTTCCTCTTCATGAGACTGTTGATTTCATTTGCGATAACATCACAAGCTATGGGAAAAACTAAACTATCCCCGTCACTTACATCAGAGACAATATCTTAATGTTTAGAAAAAAGATATTAGATTCACCCATTGGTACACTCACTGTTGATAATAATGGTAACTCTATTGAAAACTTTATTACCCTATTTAATCGTATTTATCAAAATGTCAGAGTGACTTCCAAACTAAAATGGAATAACAAGCTTGGTTTCCTGAATATCACAATGACCAGGAGAGATGATAGAACGATTCAGTGATCGATTTTTCGTAAACAGACATGGAATGGACATTATCTTCATTTGACTAGTTTTGTTCCTATCCAGTATAAACGTTCCCAAGTGAAATGTTTGTTCTCAAGGGCCCGAAAAATATGCACGAGTGACACATTGATGGATGCGTTTCGACATATACATTCAGTTTTATTAGCTTATGTTTATCCGGAAAACTTTATCACTTATCACAGTAAAGAAAGACCACATCTCGAAAAGACAGCTTCTGTACCAAAGAAAGCTCTCTTTATTAACCTACCATTCAAGGGCGACCAGATTATGCAGTTGACAGCTCAAAGACTTCAGTCAGCCATCAAACGCACATTCTACGCCACATCTCTTTTTCTCAATTGCCGAACACTTTCGATCCCTGTACCTACGATTAAAAGAGGAAATTCTCTGGACTCTACTTCAAACTGTATCTGCAAGTTCACCTGAAGTTGCTGTGACACCGACATAGGTAGAACCAATAGAATGATCCAATGTAGTCGAAAGAACATGTTCCCAAATGGCTACTAAATCAAATAGAAATTCCCAGGGAATTAATCTGAATGAAAATCCATCATCATCCACTGCAAATCACTTAATAATATCAGGTCATAAAGGCAATATAAGTGACTGTTTCAAAATTATTTCACATAATTTTAACTCAAGGCTGGTTATTGAAGGTGATGGAGGCAATTTGGATTAATCACAGACATCCTAAACTGTCTGTACAGAAAACAATAGACTTCAAACTTCGCCCACAATGGACTACTTGACCTATTTAAATATGAATGGTCATTAGTATGTACTTTGTTTTATATAACTGAGTAATTGTCATGTATTTTATTCATTCCTACTGTGAACCATGTTAGTTGTAAAGAGGTTGTAAGGAAACTACGAAATGATATCATCTCGCGAAATTTGTCTTCTGAATGCCTTATTGAAATTTATCAAACAGACTAACTGTTTTAATGATTTCATTAGGGGAATTTGACACAGTTGGAATTAGGACTCAGTATCGAGAAATGCTTACGAATATAATCGATAGCGCTTCTGAATTTATAAGGAAGGATTCAGACCAAAATATCGACAATGAAACTGTGGTCTTCATGGGATATACTCTACTAATATTTAATGTTTCCTTATTGCAGACCACTGAGTTCATTGAAAAATCCTCAGGATATGGTACATATGTGTTGCAGCTTAATCGCTCCTCTGTACTGAAGTTTCCATTATTATTATTATTGCTCCCTTGGGTTCCTAGTGGAACATAGGGCTTCAACTGCACGTCTCCATTTGCTTCTGTCTTCTGCTGTACTTTTCGCCTCCATCCATGTTAGTCCATACTGTTTCAACTCTTCACACGATCTCCTCCATGTCACCCATGCACCGACGTCCCACACGCCGCTCCCCTTTCGGCCTCGTTCCACTGGAGGGCTGGACGCGCGATGTCACCCAGCGGTCTCCTCAGCGAGTGTCCGATCCATCTCCACTTTCTCCTGCATATTTGTTGGGCGATTGGTCCTTGTTTTGTTTGTTCCCATAATTCCTTGTTGGTGATTCTTTCCGGCCATCTGATCTTCAGTATAGAGCGAAGACAGCTGCTAATAAAGGTCTGCAACAGCCTGTTGGAAATATTCTTTGTGACCCGCCTGCCAAGTTTCTGATCCGTATAGAAGAACTGACTGACTTGATGTTTGTATTGAAAATCCGAATTTTGTTGGTGATGCTGAGTGACAAAGATTTCCAGATTGGTTTCAGGTTGATGAATGTGTTTCTCGCCTTCCTGATTCTCGCTCGATTTGACATCCTCGTCCGCTCCTCCTGTAGTTGAGACAACGTTCCCTAGATAAGTGAATGAAGTAACCTCTTTCAAATCCCTCCCGTTGATGGTGATTGACGTTGGATGTTGTTGCTGTTGTTGGTTGGTTATTTTCATAACCTCCGTCTTGTCTATGTTTACCTGGAGTCCTGTCTTCGCCGGCTGCTTCTTCGACCAGTTTGTCGGTTTTCGCTTGTAAGTCTTCGATTGTGTGACATCAAACATAAGTCGTCCACGCTCCAAATCCAGGTCTTCTAGGTTCTTCACGTCGGTCGGTCCAGGATATTCCTGTCTTCTCGTTTCCCACTCACTGTCTGACGCATAATCCAGTCCACCACAATTAGGAATATCGTTTCTTTAACATTTCCTATAGCACTACATCACACCCTCCTTTCCTTTACTGGTTGAAGATTGGCTGGAAAAGGAATTATCTTGTTCACTACGCGACATTCTCAAATCCTCTGGCAACTGATATCACATTTTACACTAAGTGCAATTTTCAGTTTATTGAAGGAACAATTTTTCAAGTAGGAGGCTTGTCAATTTCATTATACTAGTAACAGTATAGACAAAAGCTGATTATCTGTTCCTGCTCTAATCTGACTAAAGAAAACACGGATATTAATTCAGAACTATTCGAAATGCAATCCACATCTACTCACTGAAGAACGTATAGGGAATTTAAACAAAAAACGGTAGTCGAGATGGAATTACATTTAGGCCTCTCTTGTGTTGATAAGCTACTGAATACAGATGGGACATTGATTTACAGAAAACAATTTTATGAATATTTTCAAATTTGGCACAACTGCTTACCATGGTTAAACCAAGTCCAAAAAATACACTGAAGACTATATACGCTGCTACCTGAAAATAAAAGATGATTACATTAAATATTTTAAGTTGTAATGAACTACTAGTGCTGCCATAATACTTCTTCATCTTTAATGTTCTTATGTATTGCATATTCTTTGCACTGATCCTGATAATAATTTTATTTATTTAATTTTTACTTTTGATTAAAGCCTGATTCCACACCGTATTTTCTATACACTTATGGAATTTTCAGCATGTGATATCGGTAGCCCAAATTTTGCAGGTCGACCATAGATATCAGGTGTGCGTAGGCAGAAGATCGAACCTCGGACCATGTTCATAGTCGGCGAGAATCCTAACCACTGTGCCACCTACGCACTCATTTTTCTTGGTAGATACTGACTGGTTGAAAAATCCCGGAGGCTCATCTGGTCTTGTCTGAGACAAATGATTTGGCAATATCTCCGGTTTCCGGTAGTGAAGTGATACTGTTTGCACCGAGAAAATATCTTTAGACACCAACAAGTTATTCACTACACAGATCGAGCCACAGAAGCCCCCACTTTTAGTGAATAGTTCAAGTAATTTTTTCCCTGAATCACTGCTCTTTTCTTCCAATCGTCGAAGAGCCTTTATGAAAAGGCAACATGGGAACATAGGTACAAGACGCTGGTTCAGTCAGTCAGCTGGAAGAATAAAAGATACTTGAAGAAAATGCAAGCAGTTATTACAATCTTCCGAACATTGAGGTGAACACGAAGTACAAAGTACAATCCTGGCTATCGACGTTAGCCATTCGATATCAAAAGAACACAGCTGAACAACTTCAAAGACTATTTGCTTCATATAATATTAAAGTCTATGTCAAACCCTATAATTCTCTGGAGAAAGCGCTCGTGCATGTCAAAGATTTAGTTCCTAAAATGTCACAAAGTAAATGTGTCTACAAGATAGTGTCCAGAATGTGATGCATGCTATACAGGAGAGAGCAGTTGGCAGTGAACATCAGAGTGAATGAACACAGACTATGCACGAAACGTCCACCTAGAAATGAAGTAGAATTAAAAAGTCTATAAAAAAGTTCGGCTATAGCAATGCATGTGATAGACAGTGGACATAAGATTGTTTTCGACAATGTCGAAATTCTTGGAAAAGGATTTCATTCATATGAAGAAAGATTGACTTCTGAAGCCTTGCACATTTAACCACATCAAATGCAGTGAATAGGAAAGAAGGGATAGATTTATCACCTATATGGCCAACTCTTATGAAGCAAGACAGATGAAACAACAACAAACACTCTATGAGCCTCCATGACCTTTCGAAACACGTGGTATCATGTTTATCACATATGAATTTGTGTATTTTCCATATGACAAATAACATATGTGCACACACACTCATACAAAACTAATCTTTACAAATCATCTATAGAAGAGTGAACACAGCAACAGTTTGATATGTCATTACAAATATATATGATGACTGCTTACATATTTTTATTGGTAAAAATTTCCATGGACAAATGATTTTCAAATAAACTGACTTCAATTTATGTAAAAATGTTTGACTATATATTTTGATGATTAATAAAAATCCGAATAAATCTGCTGGAGAACCTGTGGCTTACATTGCGAAACGTTCAGAAAAATCTTGTTTTGATTTTCTTAACACACTGGGATTAATTTAAATAATTTATAATGAATCAATCTGACTCGGTGCTCAAATTATTCCAGGAAGTTCGTAACACCTACGGTCTGGAAACCTATAGTTGACATAACATTGCGAAACCGTCAACAAAACTGGATCACCAGATAGCTACGTGAGAATGACATGAAGTACTCATGTGATTAAGCAATGAACGTTCTTACAATTCATTTGTGATGTTGAGAAGAATCAAAGAAAATGATGAAGTAGTTACTTCAGACATCAGACAGTTTGAAATAACGTCATCGCAATGTACACTAGTTATGAGATATGAGAAATTTATTAGTGTCATGCAAATAACTTCTCAGGAAAATTTGTTAAGTCCAAATGCCACTCACTTTATAGCCGGAAAAGTATACAGCGGCTAACAGAATACCACCCAACAGCATTAATACGAATGAAAAAATTATCATAATATCGTCCCCTGTATGACTCAATTGACTCAGTTGGTATCCAACTACCACGGCTATCACAGCTAGAGATATTGCCAAACTCCATGACAACGCTGCCCATAAATGAAGAGATCCTGTGAAGCCAGCGATTCCACAAGACGAAGTTAATACCTGTAAAACGTATAAATTATGCCGAACACAAATATAAGCAGTAGGATGCGCTGATTTACGTTGCATTATTCCTTTCCCTCATAACAAGCTAACAGTCTAGAATTCGTCACGGACCACCATCAGTTAGACAGGTAATTGGTATTCAGAGAGGACTGGACAATTTTGCTAACTGATGAAGCCACCTTGAACAGAGTTCAACGATTCAAGAATTTGCGTTTCTGTTGAATCGTGACACGGAGCCGCCCCCAAACACTTTTCTGAATGCCAGTCCAGCTCGATACCGAAAGCGAAGTTAATCCACATCCTCAAAGAAGCCATAATTGAAAAGTTTTTCTTCTAAAGACAACTTTTGTACTTTTTAAGCAGACGCGACTAAAATGAGAATGACAATCTTCATATTAGAGAAATATATAGTTTGCATTTGACATTACTCAGGTGTTTTTGCAAATTACTCAGGCATAAAAGAATAAGAAAAGCTCATCTACGGTCAAAAAGTAATCCACAAAGTAGTAGTATGTGAGTAGGCAGTCATCTTCACGCACGAAGTCAAAATAACTTTTCGACAGTTCGACAGTTGAAATGAGCACAGTGTCATAGTTTAACTCTCAAAACATAGGTTGTTCTACTATTCTAACTCATGTCTCGCTCGTGTGAAAATTACCACAGAAATCATAACATTATTCAAGAAATTAGCATCTAGTCTACTGGTACTGACTTCATTCCTTATTACCAACCACTATTGATGAACAAATGATCAAATCACTATTTGAAAGAATCAAATATGTGTACACATATCCAACAGACTGATAAACTCACAGTGAGTAAAAGGAAGGTGTAGTTCACCGGGAATTGTGATTCAACGTTCTGAACAAGAAGCAAAACTGCTGCGAAGACTGCACCAATTAATCTGAAATGAATTTGAATGTTTTATTTGTTGATTAGTCGATCAATATAAAATAAAGGAGGATATTAAACGAGTGACTCCACTTTGATCTGAAATATACAGGGCTTTGCACCACTGTCACTCAAAATGCTGCTATCAAATTATACGTAATCACTACTAATAAAAAGGTGTTGTTCTAGCTGCTGTGCAGCTATACATTGATAAAAGCAGAACGTGATGACAGGAAAGCGATCCGCCCTACTTAGAAATCTCTACTACGCCTGGCGGTATGCAACTCGAAGACTTCATCGTGATTGACTTTGACTGTGGACGCTGCTGGTGGTCCGAATCTATCATTGAAAACGTGGTTATATTCACTTGTTTAACACACCCACATGCATTACTGGAACAAATGGTAACTCCATGGAAATTAGTCTGCAAATTACCACACATTACAGATAGGATAAGACAAGATGAAGATAACATAAAAAAGACAAGATAAGACAAGAATCCCGGTGGGTGCGTATTGATGAAGAGTCCCAAACTAGGACGAAACAGTTATCCAGTACTCCCAGGATTTCCAAGAGTTCTCCAACTAATGTCAGCTCATGAAGAAATCCTGAAACCAACCAAGTCCCTACAAACCAACACTTAAAAATGGAGTGAAACTAGAATGTCAGGAATCCGTATAAAGTTAGTGACAGTCTTGGCACCGCTCAATGATATGAAAGCCATTTTAGTTTTCAACATTTAGCACATGTCTAAACATTTTGAACTGGATATAAGTTGTCTGGATGTCGGTATTAAACGCCAGTGTTATTTAGGCATAATCAAAATGACTTATCCATATGAAAAGCAATTCATAATTACTGGAATCTAAATTGTCTGAAGAGGGTTGACGGAGTCAGACAGAATTTGACATCTTTGCAACGCAACCACACTTGAAGATACAAAATCAATGTTAATATGATAAAAAGTTTCACCATGTAAACACCTACCTTTTTTCATAATTCACATTCCTATCTTGACCAAATATCTGCACATCGTTTTCCATAATAACCAATTTATCCATTTGACAACGTTAAGTAACTTACGGTTTATAAGGTGAGATTTTGTAAATTCGCATTTCGTTTTACTTTGATAAACCTATCAGCAACATAAATTTCTTCAATGTCAGTAGAAACAATATCGTTCTGTTTTCCTACCTAACACAGTTCGACTAACCCAACTCATGGAACGTGAACTGACGAATGATACTGAGTCAACTAATCAGTAAAACAAGTGGATTTTTAATCAATGACGATTATTAACAGGATAAATATGAAAACACATTAAACAGGCTAGTTTTCTCAGAAGTCAATTCAAAATACATCTCAAATATTCTAAGGAGACTCATTTTCTAGGTTTATCCACTTTCTATTTATATTTTTCAGGATGACAGGAACTGATTTCATTCTGTGGCTTGTGTGTCAGTCTTATTCCACTCACCAATCTTACCGGGAGGCACTTGATTGAATCAGTTCAGGTCCATCAACGGTTAATCAAAATCACTAGAATAACTCACCTGAAGATATGCAAGACGTATATCTGAAACGCAGTTGTATGGCAAGTACGAAAAGAAGTGAAGGTATGACTCACCTTTGCGAAATTGATAGATTAGTGTCGGTTGTATAATTCGGAATAACCTCCACAACTGATTTCTGATGTTTCGTTTCGTATATTCTTAATAGCGGTAGGTAGACCACACTTATACTTCTCTATCAGGATGGCTTCACTAATATGATCAATAACACCGAATCCTCGTAACACTTGTCGCACAGTATTCATCTTCCCTGACGCTATATCTTGGCTATGGTAGAACTTTCCCACAGCTAACACCAAGCAACTTCCTTCTCTTCACCCAACAATCTCACTTTAGTATTTAAAATCTCATAACTGCAGATAAATCAACGATTGACAGAGACACTTTCGGCTATAAAAACAGCAAATTCAGTGTGCGACTGTGCACACCTAAATGCACATATATCAAATGCTTTCAAACGCCACTGGCTGCACACACAAGCACCATACCAACATCTGTGGCTCCATGCTTTCAACCTATTGATCTGAACGACATTCGAAAGGGAGATTCGGTTGAAGTTAGCACTTTAGCCTTCCCAATGGAACTATAGTAATGGTAGATCTCGTTATACAACTACCAATATACACACATATTCGCCGAGGTGATTCTTTATCTTGGTCATATTATGTAAAACAAACCAAATATCACTATGAAATTAAAAGCAACCGATTGCCTCATTTTTCCAAAAGAATGGAAAAGCATTTAAATATATATATATGTACATATAATGAAATTGTTTGGTAACACGCACGTAGCAAGAGAATGACACTAAATTACATGTTTAACGTCTTTCTACTGAAACATGTTTTAACCACAACTATGTTAACTCACACGAAAGCAAGTGACATATACCATGTTGAAAACAAATTTTGAAGTATATTTCTAAAACCCAATTGTAAGCAGAAAGTGTAATTTTGCAGTCTTACATGTTCGCTACCAACAAAGTCGCAGTCATCGTGATCACAACCATGGAGCTTGTAAAAAAGACATACTTCATTGGATTATTGTTTTGATCTAAAATATGAAGTTACGCATTCCTACCTGTACAAGACATACTCTTCCAGGCGTCTGTCCAGAGACTGTATTCTAGAAACAAGGAGTTTGTGAAAACTCATACCTACCGGTAATATTTCGCCCGTGCCAGATTTCATACTAATTACAAGGAAGAACACTTGATAAAAGAATAAAACTTGTGCACTGTGGTAGTGTGTAATTCCATTATGGGTGAATTTTGCTTTGATAAAGTCTCACAGTGTTACACAGTGATGTTTACTGATGACGTTTCGAGCACAATTTATTGCTCATAATCATATCAAAGTCGCTTTGATATGATTATGAGCAATAAATTGTGCTCGAAACGTCATCAGTAAACATCACTGTGTAACACTGTGAGACTTTATCAAAACAGGAAGAACACTTGGTTTAATTGTCAATTAGATCTCAGAATTGTTGCAATAGACAGTCAACGTGTTGACTTACATGATGTCTGATCTGATATACATGCGCTTTGAAATGTCGGAATTTGTTGGACTATTGATGTCTGAAATGTAGTTACGTCATGTGTACTTCTTCAGTCAAGTTACTTAGAGTCAATGAGGTTAATCAACATAACTTGAAAATATGCAGAGATATGTAAGTGTCCTAGAGCTTGTGTAGATGCATGAACGCTACAGAATGGATGCTTCTGAAGCCCGTAACAATTCTGGCCATTGTCAAATCCACGTGAGCAGGATTAATGTGATAGTGTTCAAACAATTACAGAGGTTAAAAATAGAACTAGTGTTACAAATTATATAACCTTATGAGGCATCGATGGTTCTGTGTTTCACATGTCTGTTGTCTTTTGAAATATGAAGTCTACACTGTCTTGAACTTGATTTTAGAACTTATACTTGATTGCCTCAATACCTTAAACATAATATATTTAACTTTAGAACTTACACGATTTCGTCTACATTTATTTAATTCATAGTTAATAACTGCTTTTTTTATATACTGTATTGCCTGTGTTGATACTACGAATGATACATTGAAATAAGTTTCAGTGTACTTTAGACCGTTTTCAGCACACTTTAATACAAAATTATATGAACCTTCGAGTGTGTAAACAATAGATAACGATTTAGTTGCTATACAAAAGGTGTTTTCAAGGATGATTGAATCGATACGAAGGCTATCAAAGTTCCAACTCTGAATAATGTATCGTTTGGATGAAAATATCATATATATGCGTCGGTGATACACCCGTGAAATGCTCGCAGACCATGCACATGTGATCTGATTTCAATTCTCAAGCGTATTTAGGAATAAGTAAACCCACAAGCGCATAATGAAGTTAACTTCAAGTAGGAATTTTGTCAATGGACTGTCAAAGACAAAGTAATATCTCTTCAAATGAAAACAGACTGTTTTATTTGAATTAAGATTCTTCAAAACACAGTTTATTCTGATATCAGTGTGACACGATTCGAAGGCTAACAAAATCTGAATCCATTGAGAAATCAATTTTCTGATTTTCAAAATGGTACCAAAGATTTAACTTTTTTCAGTCAGTAATACAAAGCAAAATGAAAAACCGTTCGAAAGCTCATGAGAGATAATAAAATTCAAAGTTTTTAGATTCTGAAATTCTACTCGCTAAGTCGTGGTTAAAATGGTCGACGTAATGCTAGAAATGAAGCGATGTACATAGTCTTCTCTTGAACCGAAAGGTGAATATCCGAGGTTATGTATCGACGTCCCTCTTTTCATCGTGAATCTTTTCTCTTATATTATATCCGTCACAAATTGACGGCCAAATACTCCTAAAATACTGGACACTCAACGTCGCTACAGTTAGAAACACAGAGAATTCCGAAATATGATGGAAACGATCTGTAGTACAGGTGGATAATTTCTACGTAATTGCGTTCTCTGAGCTGGAGGGTTTATTTCCGAAGATTCCAGTGCCCCGCTAGGCGACATCTTGCAAATCACCAGGTGGGATGACTTTTAAACTCGCGGAGAAATCTGAAAGCTCATTTCATAAAACTGAAATGGATGGCCTAATCAAGGCATTGAGCGTAGACGTTAAGTGTATATTTTTGAGTCGTTAGAAAATAATGCCAGTGTATTTCGCCTCTGCATTGAAACGTAACTATACTTAGCAAAGAATTCAAAATATCAATCAGATACTGATAAAATATGTACTAGAAAGATGTATGACGTAGTTTATGGTGTAAGCAAGACGGGGTGACTAGTCGAAAGTTAGTAAAGGAGGGGGAATAAGTTGGTATGACGTAATAAGTGTTAGATAATGCATAATCAATAAGCACGTGTATAATGGACGGGAACTAGTGGATAGGCGATAAAGTGTTTTTACATTAAACCTCTATGAGAAACGAATGTTATTAATAAGCAGTAATGGAGTGGTAATAAAATATGGATTATGAGAATACTAATTATACAAAAATAAAAGTAGTTTGAACATTGATAATAATAGTATGGTAACATAATAAAACAGAGAACAAGCAAGATTATAGAAAGAAATTTGCTCTGGTCACGGTAGGGCGAGAGAATGTTTATAGGGGTCCGGTTTCAGATCTCGAATAGCTTATGATTTAGCTATCTACATATGGCGCATGCGAAGTCCCTTTGTACGATATCGAGGATCTCTGTGTAACACTGTGAATCATTCATGTTGGACTGCTCGATGTCCCGACATGATAAGGTGTTCAAGGATACAGCAGCTGCTATTCTCTTTTTTCTTCTCTGGTTTACCAAGCTTGACACTATTCCAGAAGACTTTTGTGGACTTGAAGTTGCGTACGGCCGATATACTTCGCTCCACACGAGCAAGTGAAATGATAAATACACAGGTGCAGTGGCAAATAGAGATATCTTATCCCTAACGTTGTTAGACTGGATTAACTGTCTGCTGGAGAATGTGATATCTAAGACAGGCGCTCGAAATGTCTTCTTCATACATTTAAAAATACACTTTCTGAGTATACCGCTGCGATTTCACATTTGAACTCCAGGTTCGTGAAGAGAGTTTTCTTAGGAACTGTTGTGATACATTCAAAAAGATATAAAGCGTATGCTCATGATGCGTGTTTTTTGTCACGTTCATTTACAAATGATGATAACTGGCACGTGAATTTCGAGAATCACGTAGAAATGAAATTAGTGCTATATAGTACTTATCCTCTCATGGAAGCGGAGTATCTCACAAATGGATATGAATGCTATGACGTTAACATTTCAAATAAATCCTAGCATACTACTGACTAACACTAGTAGTTAGCAACTGGTGATGAAAATAAATGCTACCTTCTAGACACGTCAAAATGGTTTAAATGCTCGACAGTCACCTCAAATGTTTTATGTCTAAATGAATTCGCGATGACCGTTATCTATTTAGGACATCTAGAGATTCTTTCGCGTCATGCATTATCTTTTATCCAGCGAGTTGTTTTAACCCTTAAGAACTTCCAAAAATTTTAGAATACTCCTGTATCACATTTTATAAATAAGTTTAGAAGACGAGCACAGACCGATTTAATTTCTGTCTCTATAATATGTTCCGCAGGAGGACAGCTAGATGCTCTGTTCTCTCTAATAATGAGTTCTGATGATTCATAGCTTTTGAAGCCCTTACTTGTAGAGTTCGATGAGTCCCACCTATGTATTTTTGGCTAAACGTACACTTGAACTGTAATGGAGTGTTACATCCCTTTTCGAATGTTCCCAGTCCTTAGATGCATAGGTGGGTATCACCACGTGGATTATTCTGATCTTAGCTGTATAAAAAACCTTTTGAACCACAGCGTTCAATCTGTGTTGAACTAACAAGGTGTTATGATCAACCATGTCTCGGGTTGCTTGATATAATCGTCCGTCTTAACGACTAGTTGAAGAATAGGTCTTGGCGTTCTGACTACTTCATATGTCCTTATGAAGTTCTTCGGATAATTTTTATCACCTGGAGTCTGTGTTAGTTTTTTTCTCGCCACCTTCTCTTGTGTAATCTGTACATTTTCATAGGAATCTTCCGAAAAGGCAACTCACTAAGGCTCTTTTGTACAGGTTAAACTAAAAACTGTTGTAATTAAGTTTCTATTCTGTCTAGGTAGGTCTCCTATAAATAGATCGTTTCGCCCTTCAATCAGGACGTCGACTAAGCAATATATCAAGGAATCGTAAACAGTTGTCTTTCTCCTCCACTGACGTAGGCGATATCCTATTCTGGACTTCATGCATTCGATTTAAAATCGAAGTGATAGAATAAGACTCATCATTTATGATTATAACGTTGGTGATATCTATCTTCTATAATGTGGTACATTTTCGATTTTTTTTCCAATAAACTTTCAATGTACGATGAATGAATATTTCCCGAAAGAAGACTCAACCGGCTACCCATAGCACAATCATCAAACTGACGGACGCAACCACCTTCAACTGTGAATCCAACATAACTAGTACATAGTTGTAATAAATACTTCAGATAAATTGGGGCAGATGTGATTAGCAAATTATGTGCAGAAGTGTAATCATACAGAATGTCAGTTGTTTTGAATAAGGTTACATCAGTGAATAAAGATTTCACATAGAACATAAATTTTTATTTATAATATTACCATCATAAATATTATCAATCAGCCCAAATTTATCTTCCAATACATTCTAACAAAATTCTCTTTTGATGAAGTCCATCATTTCTGCTAACCACTGAGCAAGTTTATGTATTGGTCATCTACACATTGACACTACAGAATCTAGAGTTTAAGTGGGTCGATGTTTTTTTGGAAAAACCATAAAGATGTGAAAATTTACATTCTGATGTTTACATAGGACAAAATGTACCTTTGCTTATAACATTTAGGCCAAGAAGTTTTACTAGAATACATAGCACTGTTTCTAGAAATACACAATTATCTTATGAGGAGTGATCACGGCTAAATTTTCTTTCATTATCAAGAATGCATAACATATTATACTCCAGAGTATTTGTCGCCTCTCGTAATCGGAATATCAGGTTTTTCCTGTAGTCTATCAAATCAACACTAAAGAACACTTGTGGCAATTTCAGATTTGTAGTATAACGTTTTCTTAAAAATAATGGTGGATGCTATGTGTTGGAGGGGTGAATTAAAAGCAATAGAATCATCAATGTACATCTGTGAGTTCAACTGCTTCTGTGCATCTACTTACATGGTCCCTATTCACACATCTTTATCCATGAGCGCATTTGGACATATACGTTTGTAGGTGACATCAGGGGAAACAAAATGCGTGAGTCATGCGGTCTTAGCCCACCTGGTAGATGCTGGACATTAAAAACACCAAGCTGTGGTTCGAAGTTATCTAGTATGTTCCCAGTGATCTATCTAGAGGAGTCCGGTTGTGCCTCTAGTGAATAACTGAAGTGGTAGGAGTTAAAAATTAAATTCTGGACCACTGAATCCGGAAACAATTGGTGAAATCACTTTGGCGTACAGTAAAATCAACGTATCCTCAGTTACACTTCAAACTGATGCCACATCACTCTTCATTTTTTCACCTAGAGGAGGAGTTTGAGTTCCTTGAAAAGATATTGAAGAGAAAAGGGTATCCTCAAAGTTCATCAACAAGTATGGAAGATCTGAAGTCACAAATGTAAAACAAATCACAGTGGGTAAAAAGCCAATCTACGTTCAGCTTGACTATAAAGGTGAAAACATTACAGCGATGATCAACAGAAGGCTGAGTACATCACTAGCCATAGCCTATCCTGCAGCCAAGCTCGTTCCCGTCTATCGAACAACTTGCTCTTTGGTGCAATCGAAAATCGATAAATATCCTTCTCATGTTACCCCAACTGTATATACAAATTTACGTGTATCTACAGGAGCAGTTACATTGGTAGAACAAAAAGAAGAGCATATCTACGATTTTCTGAACATGTACCAAAAAGCTTACGTCTAAAGGGAACGAATGCTTTAAACAGTGCTATCGCCAGGTATCTCCTCCACACGGGTCATGAGGTGGACGTCGAAAAGTCGTTCAAAATTATCAATAGGCAAAAGAGCTCAATTCTCCTTAAGTTTGCTGAAGCGATTTCTATCAAACGCTTGAAACCTGATCTATGTGTTCAGAAAGAATCAGTTATTAGTCTTTCTTTGCCTTGGTAACTGGATGCCTTTTTTTTCTCTCATCTGATTACGTAATGTTTGTCTTTAACCTCACCCTCCCTTTTATAATTTGTAATTTTGCTTGTCTTTTGTTTCCATGATTTGAGCTCAAGTCAGTGCATTGTTACCTAACTTACTAGTCACTACGCATCTAACGCACATCTCATCTTTATTACGTAACTCCTTTGCCATTTTCTGCATACATTTATTTTGTTTTAACCTGAACTGTCTGTGTGAAAACTATATAAGCGCAATCTTCTGAGCACTGTTTACTAAATGTGGAATTTTCTGTCAACTGACAACATGTAAAATTTGCTAGTATGTTAAAACATATCTGTACTTAAACCTCATAATTTATTTAGGCTGTAAGCAACTGATGAGAAGCCAACGAAATAAATGATGGTACCACATTATTCTGCTAAAACTCTAGTTTTTGCTTTGTTCAAATTCATTAAGGGGAATAAATGTATGAAACACCTGATAATCGTCCACTAACAGTGATTTTCTGTTGATACAAGAAAAGATTGTTATTATTTTTTTATTGTCATTATTCTTTGTATTTATCACCTTTGAACCATCCTCTCACATACACAATTTGTTGATTCGCTTTTCTGCAGTATTTACATTGTCTTACATACCACCCTTGAAACCTTTATGTTTTCTTGAGTATGAATACACAAACATATCGATAAATTAGTCGCTTTGTTCTGTCTTATTTTTTACTGACCATAAGCATTTTATCATATGGATTTAAATGATAATCCAGACTAACTCACTGAGTATTATTATTTCATGTTGGATATTTGTGCTACAATATACGTTTTGCTTTGTATTTTAATTTGCCTTTAATCGGGCTACTAATTGGCACAGACTGTGGATTCGAATTCATAGCAGCCTGAAGAAGAATTCTCAGTTCACTCTACTTCTTCTCCTTGTTACCATTGTTGAGTAAATAAAGTGAATTCTACATAGTTTGTAAATGTGAGAATTCTGGAAGCCTCCTAGATTTCTGCCGACTTAACAAAATAATCAAAACGTCATCCCAGCAGCTCATTCATATTCGATTAATTATAACAATGAAATAAAACCTATGAAAAGTGTTCATATCTTTATTACGAAATCGCTATACGATCAAAGTTATTTCTCACTGGTAGCAACCGATGCAACTAAGCTGAAGACAATAGATATTTGCAAATAAAAAGCTTACCGTAATTTAGAGAAACTTTTGATAACCCCTCTTGCCGAATGTATTTGTACAATAATCCCGTGCATTAGTCAAGTTTTCTGACGTGTATAAAACTACAATCATTTCAAGTAACTGAACGTTGATTTTGACGCCTAGCAGGTAGAACCTATCGACAGCTGTCTTTGCTCCGTACTAAAGATCAAATGGTTTGTCAGAGAGAATTAGTAACAAGAAACTCTGTCGATCAACGGATCAACCAACAGTCAACTGCTAAAATACTACATAGAAGAAAATGGAGTTTTATCAGTTAGGCATATTTTAGGATGACTTTAAATGAGATCACGCCCACTGCATGCAAACGTTCTAGTGGAGTTTCAATGTGAAATGATGAGTGAGTCGTCAGAGGATGAGTTGACGGAGATTGTGTGAGTTGGAGGAGGCGATCAGAGATTATGTGCAATCGTGGATCCATATAAAGATGAAACCAGAAAATAGAAGAAACTGGAGATGTGTCGTTGAAGCTCCAGGTTACACTTTGAGTGCAAAGAAGTAATAATAAAAATAATAAAGGTAATACCTGGATCATTTTCCACAGAATTTGTTTCCACAAAACGGTTAACCATAATTTGATGTTGAAAAGATGAATTATATGCCTTCAAAGAGCATTTGATGTGTTTCACTAAATACGTGTGATCAATGTGATGAAGCTCTACTTATTATCTTAAACATTCTATTTTATTTTTCCCTTAAACACATTCATGATCTAATTTTGAATCCAGAACAAGTCAAATGAGATTAAAAAAATCAATCTGTCATAATTGAGTGTATCTGATCCCTACTGCTTTCTCTTCCTTATCTTCTGCATAGAATGAATAGAACCAAATTGTCGCCATCAAATCCTCAAGAGTTCATCTTCTAGTTCAATAATACTTAGTATAGCTTTTTTATGATTTCTCTAAATAGTTCTTGTACGATGATGCCACTAGTATTGGATTACATTATCGTGCACGCCAAGAAGTCTTCGCAGATGATTTGTGTACGCAAAAATGTCTTCAAATATCTTCATTTTTTCTTGATTGGATATTCAAAGTGATGAAAGTGGAGTAGATGACAGATAGTCTAATATGGGATTAGTGTATTCTGAAAAACAAGCATTACGACACATAGCCATTTATGTATATGTTGTCGTTTGTAAAATAATAGGGGTGGTATAAAGTGGATACACCCTGCAGATACACGTCGTAAATACTGTCTAAATTTGTATCAGAAATAATGTATTCACGTAAGTTTACTCTTGAACAAAATCTTACCCATGAATTCTCCCAAATATGCCTTCACAACTAATCAAATTGTTTTCTCTCCTCGTTACCTGTAAAGGTGAATCTGTTGGGGATATTAAAGGTTTGCATGCAGAAATATTAATTACTCCCCATTTATAGGAAACCACCACTAAAGTGATGTCCGCAAGAAAATGTATTGTGAAGGTAGGAATGCTCATATGTTTCAACAATCCAATTACGTACATCATCTGGTTGTGTATAATGATTGCAACAACGATGACAATGACCTTGCTGGTAGCGAACATGTAAGCCTGTGAAGTGACAACTTGTACTCACATCTTTGTTTTAGAATGAAAGTCCGTGATCTGTTTGATTCTTATAGGTATACATCAATCGCACTTCTGTAAGTTCCTATGAATGTGGTTATAACATACATCTCCTCCGAGTAAGACATTATTCATGTAATTTTGGCGTGATTCTCCTTTTGTGTGAATGTTCATAAATATAATCTCATGTCATTGAGATGATGAACTGACGAAAGTGCATACTGGTTTATTTATTGATAAAGTCGTCCACAGATTCTGCAAATTACGGAGTTAACTGGTTCTTTTACAGGTTCACTGGAGCATTCATTGCTGTTCTGCTGATTTTTATTCCTAAACTCGAGCTCATCTTTCCACTGAACTATATGCTTGCTGTGCTCAGTGTAAGTGTACCATTTGTGACGATGATTGTGTGTATATGAATCTGTTTTTTTCTATAACCCCTGGCTGCTGAAAATGAATTAAATACATACAAAATAATGACTTAAAACGAAATGATTAGTTTCTGTCAGTGCTTTGGTTGTCGGTCAACTGATTATGGTGATCACTGTTGCAGTATTTATTTGGTATGTTGAATATTATTCGCAAATCTTGATAACGAGTGTTAGTTTTTGATGCGCTAAGCAATTATTCTTTAGAGTGTAGCAGAATGTGCGTAACCGAATGCTTTACCAGATAGCGTGGCACACAGCATGCTCGATACTTGATAAGGAAGGTAAATAAAGATGGTGACGGTGTAAATTGGTAAGTGAGTATTAGGTATGCGAACGATCCAACTCTTTCAATGCTGTTAACGCCTAGCTAGGCTGTACTAGGATGAACACCTTCCTATTGGCAATCAGATGATGATTAATTCTTGTTCTCCTCTAGCCATCCTTTTTCAAGAGAATATCAGATTCAATACCCTCCAACATGCTAAAATTTCAAAAATGTATCGCCAGTTCTGTCTTAAAAGAACAAGATGTTATTATCAGTAGAGATATTGTGGTGAGAGCAGGCCGTGAGAAAATATGAGCAAGGCTGATTCAACAACCAATCACAGCAAAGTTAACGTGGCAAAATATGACTCGCAGATAGAGAACTCAATTTGTCGAGGAATCCCGAAACAACCAGTCAGAAGCCTGCGTTTGTCTGCCTAACTTCTGATAAACAACCAATCAGATGACTGCGCTTGTCTACTTGCATAAGCTATAATAATGTATGTGAAATATGTATAAATACGTGTTGATTTTCATAATAAAACGATCTGTTGACTGGCCCTTGTCTTCTGTTGTTACAATATAACTCTCATTTTGTACTTTGCTAATTTTTGGCTTTATTCCTATCGTAAATGTGGACAAATTGCTGTGGTTACCTCTATTTGCATTCCGATTAAATCAGATGCAATATTGTGACAAATGCTGACGATACCATGCTTTATTTTTGGTATTGTTTTTAGAATAAACCAGATTATTATCACTTTATTTAATTCCAGCTGAAGTTTACCGATGATTTTCAGCTTCAACAATTTGATGAGACTTAAAGCGATCCGGTGCACAATGAGAAATTATAACCTTGTTGCGAAATATAACTCCTTCCAGAATGTCAGGTTGATCTTCCTCTTGACGAAGGCAGTGTATTTTGTGAGTTTGCATGCCCTGATTCTGTGAATTTGTTGAAACAGTTGTTTCTCATAGTGCTTCTCACTAGTCCGTTCGATCTGAACAGTCTGACGGTTAAGGATTCAGCTACTAATACCGCTTCTCTGTATGTAACTACATATCCAACAAACACATTTATATGAAATTACTAGTAAGGTCACCAAAATAATAATAATGGTCACCTGAATGCAATATAATATTTACATATTCCAGGTATTAACTTCATCGTGTGGCCTAACTGTTATAATATCGAATGTTGGACTCTGGAGTTTGTTATCATGGACCTTGACTATAATGCTGACTGCAATATCACTGATACTGGGTTATAAAATGAGGCGTTTCAATCAGAAAGGATTCTATATTATGAACTATTTGATTTCTGTATGTCTACTCCTCGGAGCAATTTTGCTTTCCGTGTTATACTATCTTTCCTTTCGAGTAAGTATCATTTAATTAATTGATCGAATGATTGACCTTTTTTGGACCAATAACAGTGCTTCTCAATATGTCTGACAGATATAATTTTGACATGATCTTTGATTAAACCAGTGCAACCATTATGATAACGAGTTACAGCCTTGTGAATCCATTTCTGTAGCCGATAAATCATCTTTCTTCCCAGATTTGCATTAGGCGACAGGTGATAACAGTCATTATGTAGACTACTTCATCCAGAAAGAGTTTTTGAGTTAAGGTTCATGGGTTAAGAAAGGGAATCAATAGGAATACTTGTTGATTTGTGATCCCCGATTTGATGCAACCACACACAACGCAAACCAGAATAATTGGGCGATTCTTGTTGACATGTTGAAATAGTGTGTGCCGTTGTTTCATTAGTTATTAGTCCACAATGCTCTTTCTATTATTTCTTCTACCAACAGGATACTGCAAATACAGTTTTCGGAGCACTTTTGGGTCTTGGACTATTTGTGGTAAGCTGGATTGTAAAATTTGTTAACATTTAAAAAGTTTTCAATAGCTGGTGTGTAAGGATTAGAATTTTTCTACTAGTTGATCACGGATTGAAGTCAGTTAGACAACTATTGAAAACCAGGGAGTTCTGCACATCCAGTTTGAGAACCATTGGCAGTACGCACCCAAACTAAGATGAAACAGCTGTCCATTACTCCTTGGTTTACAATCGTTCTTTAACAGATATCAATCCGTGACCAACTTGTAAAAATTTATAAAATTATTTCATTCAAACCTAATATATTTCATTTGAAGAATATGTTGTTTGTTTATTCAAGATGAAAATATGAAGGCATTTATTCTCAGGTTGGTTACTTTATTATCAAAATGCATGAAGTTGTATGAAGGTTATTGATTAGTGGTGAAATTCACATAGAAAGCATTTATTCATTCACATACAAGTTCCACCTACATCACTAGGAATAGAGTAATCATTTTCACGGTGAAAGCTCTAGTATCTTTCTATGAGCTCGCTCTCTAACCACAACATCCTGATTTTGAAACTCAGTGATTGCGTACTACCTATTAGTGTCAAACTATTACAATACAGCTGTTCAGTACACAGTCCAGGTGTTCAATTGTCCTCTAAATGATATGCTGAAACGAACCGTCACTTTTTTCAAGTAGTTTTGTTCTGTGATAAATGGTTTATTTTAGGAGCCTTAATTGCTCTACCACGCAACATCTTCAGCGCACACTTCATTTCAAAGTGGGCTTTTAGATTTTCCCATCGAGCGCAGTGAACACAACTGCATCGAAACCATCCACCTGAGTTGAATATCTTCTCCATCATACAAAGAACTTCTTATTTGACTCTACTTCATCTTCTTATCATACGCCCTGGTCAAAGCTTAAAACTTTGTAAGGATAGGCTGTCAAATTATTTCCTACCAGTTAGACTGGCTCCAATTACCTGGATATTAGTAGCTCCACTATACCTAACCATATCGTTCATCACCAAGCTTGAACATTTCACCTCCAAGAAGACATTTTATCACTGACTATAATCCAAATAGTGAACAATACTCTCCTTTGTACGTTATCTAATTATCTGATTGGTAATATTCCTTTTATTTTTATCGTGATTGAATCAATAAATGAATAAACGTCTTTATTGCCATCTTTATTTACTGCATTCAGTATAACTGAAATTGCTTAGCCCACAAGTTCCACACACTTATCATTCCGTTTATCACAATAACATTCCATAGCAATAACCTTCGACTAGTCAAGGTTCGATTGATGTTGATGAAATCGTTACAAATAAATTATTGAAATATTCTGAGTATGTCCATTCATAATGGTCGTTAGTCATGATATAACCGCCTTAGTGTAGACGATGCTACAGTAATATACATTTCAACAAATGATAGTGTTTATTTGAAGGTGATTGAATATTTCAGACATTTAAGAATAGAGTTTATTATAATAAAGGTTTTGTATTTCCCAATGAATAAAAAGCAAAACGATTTTATTTTACAGTTGTTGTAAGAGTGATTCTCCTGAACTATAATTAGTCACTGATCATCTTTCGCGTTACAAGTAAGATGTTGAGGAACGCCAAAGTAAATGTTTCGACTCAGGGTAAACACTGAAAACCGGTGTGACTCAAACATGCAAATATTATGTGGTAATTCTGAACTGGAAAATGAATGAAATTTCGGCCAAGTGTGCAGAAGGTTCTTCTAAAGATTCTGAACACGTTGGTGCGTGGTTAGAACTCTCACCGACCATGCACATAGTCCAAGGTTCGATCCGCTGCCGACGCACACCTGATATCTATGGTCGGCCTGCAAAATTTGGGCTACCGATATCCATGCTGAAAATTCCATAGCTGTATAGAAAATACGGTGTGTAATCAAGCTGTAATCAAAAAAATATTTTATGCTCAACGTTGAAAAATTGTGACAATGTCAAGGATACTTTCGAGACGACTACTGTTCACGGGTGCAGATCGATAAGCAAACAACCCACGAAACAGTTGAAAAACATTAGAGCGCTCAACGTGTTTATTTATCCTACAGAAAATGCACTTACATTAGAACGATTCCCACCCAGCTGTTCAATCTAATCCATTCATTCACCTCCACTCCAAAGAGCATTAAATTATTTTATTTTATCTTATAATTTAAATGTTTGTTCCTACTCTTTGTTCACCATTACAAACATTCCTACTGTAATTAGTATCATAAACGCCGTATCAGCTATCATCTGTGTGAGGCAAAATTAAGGGAGAATGAAGACAAAAACAAAATATTGTTTTCTTACCCATAGTAAGAGTAAATAGCGGCTGCTCAAGTGCAGTTTTCTCGAACTGTCATATCTCGCGCCTTCGCCTATAGATAGAATTCGATGAAATTCATTAAGAGAAACAATGTTTTTAAAGATGAATGAATTCAATAGTCACTAGTGCAAAATGAGAAGGGGCATGGGGAACAGAATATTTAAACACTTATTAGCATAATATTATTTACTCACCCGAAATTACTAACTGGGAGTCTCTTTTTTCCACTTCAGTGATGCATCAGAAACGTAGCAGTGTTGGCTTCTGATTCCATATCTATTGCAACAGTGGTATAATTATAAGTTAGGTCTCATTTTGAGTACTGTAAAGAGAGAAGCAGTTACTCTGTATTTCAAGAAGGAAGCACATATTTTGTAAAGAACAGACACCTGGAACCAAATTTGTGATCAGTGGTATTTCACACCTTTCTTGTAAGAAGTGGGCGAAACATATATGAGTCTTTGCCTTTAATCATACCAAAGGAGGAGAGGTGAGTTGATTATGTCATATCGCATGTCAGAGGCTGTTTTGGGAATCGGCATTTCTTACCTTTCCTCTTTCTCCAGAATATCTTCCAAGGTGACCAGGAAAATATGCTCAAACTTCAGATGAATAAGAAACCGGTGAAATTAGGCTTCTCTCATAGAGTAGTCAATGACTGAAATTCTTTTCCCGCTCAAGTAGCGTCAGTTATGTCAGTGAACATTTTCTAAGCTAAACTATATGTCTGCATGTAAGATTCTCTCATGAGATTCTACAGTTCTTTGTTATCTGAATAAATATAAAGATCACTAACTATAACCGTATTATTAATTTTATGTCAGCATTATTCTAAAACATATCATACCTAATTTCTTCCCCAGGTGGTTGATAAACACCAGGATATCTTGAAGTTAAAGGGCAAGCTATACGATGGGGCTACGTTTGATAATTAAACTTTGTCTTTTTAATTGTGTTCTTTCGGAGTTTGGGTATTTCAGACCAACGTTCAACCGAAAAATTTGCACCACTGGACTTTCCGCCCAACCTACATAAATGTTTTCTAAGACCACTTCGAATTTCGATCGACGAGATAGTAACATGTCACTAGACCAACTTACCTCTGCCTATCAGAAAGATACGCGATAAGTAACCCAAGTGTCGTCTTTTGTATTCCATGTTTTTTGCCATTTTTATCAAAACATGTCAATTGTCTGTTGGTCAACATGCATACCACATCATCCCTTGCACCTGGTGTCTAAATAATTGTGCGAAATATCAGGACAATGTTACTCAGAAGATTCCCTAATCGAAAAAGTCACTCAATGATCTTACTTTCAAGAGAATCTAATTATATGTCATACAAAATTATTGTCAAGTATCATTCATGAGCATAAACTTTCCAAAATATCTATCGGGTAGACTACATACAATTTCATTAAAACTGCTAACATGAACAAGTCAATAAAGATGCAGATATTAACAAAGTTAAAATGTTTAACGGAGATTAAAATTCAGCTGTCACTCAGAACTTACCTGTCTTTCTTTTGAAATCGTTATACCCATGAATAAAGGAGTAATTCAAGACTTTTATATTAGATTAATTCTTTATAAATTTAAAACTAGAACTTTGATCTTGATTATGAATAGACCGTTTTGTTCTGTGAAAGCTTTTTCTATACGTTTAAATATTTTTCACGTTTAATCGAATTTGATATCACATTTTCATCGATTTTCTGATTTATTGTGATTCTGCCAGTTTATCGCCATGAATTCAACACGGCGTGATGGTTTGATGCTACGCCACGCTATATTACTAAGTACGAGTCTTGTGATACTACAGAAAGTGAAGAGCATAATATGTGACACTAAAATATGTCACCTCCATCGTAAAGTTGTCATGATAATACTTCATCAGTGCGTTTCAGGTACGCTTTATATACATATATATAACAAAGCGACTCGATAGACTGCAGGACATATGGTTCTAGTATACCGAAGGGAAACCTCGTAATCACGGACCACAACGTCCACCATCACCGCAACAAATAGTGCACATCTTCTGTGACGAGTAAGAAGAGTTGGTCAGAGACCTCTCGATGTCTAAAGTGACAGTTCAGACGCCTCACAACGATGCTTAATTTAGTGGATTTTTAGTAGTTTTGACACTGAAAAATTATGTGGCAGCTACAAATAAGTGTTGGGCATTCACGAAAAGTGGGTAGGGTGAGTGCTATTTTCTGAAAGTTGGTTTATACTAACGAGTCCAAATGAACACTAGCGGAAGTGATGATTAACCTAGGAAATTATTGCAATGACAATGAGGTAGAAATAATTGCAAAAATCAAACAATTATACTGTATAGTGAGTAAGATTTTGAATAACAGTAAGTGAGGAACAAGTTATTGTTCGAGTTGATTGCTTAATAAAAATAAAAGATGAAGCAAACCGAATTATTAAGAAAATTACAAATTCTGAAAGGGTGGCGCTGAAATTTTCAGTTTCTTACATTCACGTAACGGTCGCTAGAAGAAGGTAAGCGACTGTACGACCTTTTTCTAACACACACAGGCTGGTTTTTCTTCAAGTGTATTCATATGGTGTCAGCTGTACATAGAAAACGAACTCGTAAAGCAAATCTATGATGAGTAGAAATGCGTTATTTAACTTTAATTGCTTTATTAACATCACCTTTGTGATCTGTGTCTGCAAGATGTGCTAAAACGGAGCTATAAATAGATCTTGTAAGTCTCTTGCTTAACACTGCCTATAATCGATATTGAGAAGGTTTCAGAATTTGAGCTGAATCAACGGAAATCGTGAATTTATATATTTCTTTACATTTATTGTTAAAATAATGCCTATGAAACTCATATCATTCCATGCGAGAAAAATAAGTTGTTCCTTTGCTTTCTAATATTTAACCGTGTGTCTGAAATGTAGTCACATGATGTGTGTTTTGTTTTTGACAGCCTGTTATATTTTGCTATGTGTATATGGATCGATATTCCATTATAACTGACAATATACTTTTGTCTGTCCATTAACTAAATAAACAATGAATGACCTTGTTGTCACATGACAATACAACCAATTATGGTAGGACTGTCTATCTATTGGCTCATGTATATTAGTCATTTTCGTATATACGTTTGTATTGTACACTTGTTCACACATTTCATACACTACGTACCCCTCACTCACACACTTGTGTCACAGTCATTATTTCCTTGTTTGGAAAATACAAGTATCTTCTTGAACGAGGTGGTCTTCTGATTTTCCTCCTTCCGCGTCAGGACTATTAACCACTCAGCAGTACATGAAAGAAAATTGGCGACGAGTACATTACAGTTTCTGTTTTGTTTCACTCTTGTATCAGGTAGAAGTTAGGAAAGAATATCTTATTTGTTTGAGGACTTTGGTCTTGACTGCCGCCTCACTGTCTGAAATTATAAGTAGAGGCAAAACAAACACATGAAATATGCCTTTGATTTCTCAAGCCTTTACATTAAAATCGGCATTATCAATGCTTGTAAATTCTTTCGGTTTTCACTTGGTATCTTTTGAAAACAGTCTTATTATCTTGCTAACCTCATTCCCTTGTCTGTCTGCTCCATGTTTGAGCATATCGAATCAGGTAAAATTGTCGCTTATTCGCTGCTCTACATTGGTTGATAGCCTATGTACCTTTAATGTATCTTCGGTTGTATTCATTGTCTTTTGCACTTTGAGTAGCATTAGTGGTGTGTAAAATTATGTGGTTTGAAAGTTTTTAGAAAAGTTTTAAGCTTATTTGCATTCCTCTTAGCCACTGTGTTTCGAGTTCTAGTGTATTGGATCTGGTGGAGTAGTTTTGCCGTTCACCGTTCCGAAAATTTTTATGATGATATTACGTCTCCTGTCATCAATTATTTTCTATGCTCATAATGTCTACACCGGTAGTCGTTTAATATTTTCTCAGTCATTTTCGAATCGTATAGTAATTTGTTTCTATGCCTTGTGTAGTCTAAACTCACAGATTCAAACATTCATATCAAGTTGGAAATAATTATCAACTTTAATCTCTTTCGTTACTATATTCGTAGTGAGAGTAAATCTCTCCCTTTACGTACAAGAAGTAACTTCATTCAATCTGGTAGAACAGCTTATTCATTATACTGTCCATGGGTTTTTTAAATACTTCAAATAGTCCTGTTCATTTTGCGATTGACCCACGGGAATATTCGCGGCTGAATGAAATCTTTAACTTGAATGTCAATGGCGCTTTTATATTTCAAATATAACGTCAGAAGAGAAGAGATTTGATAACAGACTTTCACTAGGCATATTTCAACATATTTAGCCACATTTAATGTCAGTCCGTACAGCGATTATGCGGTAATGCAATAAGAATCCACTCAAAACAACAAAAAAATTAGGAATAATTCTGAATGTATTTGACGTCATTATTTATTATGCTTGTATGTATTTCTTACATTTCATAATTTTAAAGTTCTATAATTTTGAGTTAATATTTAATCTAAATATTTTTGTTCGGAAGTTTGGATCAAAGTTTCAAAGAATAAGATGAATATATATATATATATATATATATGCAAGAGCACCTTATTCGCATATCACTAGTCTGTTTTTCAGAGATAAATCATATTTTATTCACTATTAAGTTATCCACCTTCTTTTGTTTATCAGTAATATGATTTTGCTGTCGTTTGATGAAATCACGAATATATTAGTGTTCAGCTCACTTCCTTCACTCATAGGGAGGTGTTACTTCAACAATTTATTACATCATTTATATATATATATATATTTAGTAAACCACTAGTTTTAAAGGCGGTAGATACTTGGTTTATTAGAGGATTTTTGAATGTGGGCAAATTCAACGTACTTTGTTCCTGAGAGGTTTGTTGTTTGCGTCTTATGTTTACACATGAAATTCTCACTGAACTAATATTAAAATTAGGAAAGCAATGTTGTGATTTCATGATTAAAACAGTAGCGACAAGTAGTGACAACCACATTGACAGCTGATTGAACTGTCCGAATTCGACATTATGTGAGTGTGAATGATAAGCGACTTCAAAACAAACCCTCACAAATATCGTTTCACCTCAAACTTAAAATGAATTTCTTGTTCTTCATATCAGAGAAATACTTTGCGATGAAGTTGTGGTACATTGAAGCAGTCACTTGCATGTGAGTCTCACATTCTACTATATTCGAGTGATAAAAGACATTTATGCAACTGAGTTTTATATGTATTGATGTTAACCAGTAATTACGTGCACATTGTTCAACTGAATGAAAAACATTCAGTTCATCTGAAGCATGAGATAATGTGATGGCCAGGAACGTATTCTGTTGCATAATTAGTGCCAGAAATACTCATTCTACACTGTATGATAGACCATAGAAATAACTGATGTGCAGTCATAAAACTACGGATAGGTATATATGCTTATAAAGTACACCCCTGAAATTCACTCCTCAGTTTCGCATTTGTCTTTCAGAGCAATTCTTTTCGTCATCACTTTAATACTGTATACAATTGGTGGATGCCCAGACATCGTCGAAGCATCTGCACAAGAAGCCGACATGTCAACCTGAGACCGAGCACTTCGGTCCAAACAATCGACGGGAAAATCAAAAATTCAATTCAATACTTTAATACTGTGCCTAAAATACAGCAAAAACTGGAGAACTGAACGAATTTTCCTTGCAATATTGTTAAGTTTTCTCAAATGTCAACTTATGATGATCGTTTCGTGTATAGTGGTCACCTCACTATAAACGTGAAAATGAAATTTATTCAAACAACGAAGCATATTGCTGTGGAGCACTTTTATCCAAAATCATCCGTAGTATGTGTGGCTTGTTTTAACAGAAACGTATCTGATTATCATTTAATCTGCCCTTGGAAAGCATGATAGATTTCTGAGTCACTAAAGGCACCTAACTCTTGTCTAATCATACTCAATAGGTACTTGTTAAAGAATGCTTCATATATTTGATAGTAAAATGCAAAGGCCTCTTTCGTGCCTGATTTGTTTGTTAACGTTTTTTGAGTGTTTACATCCACGTACAAGTCAAAAAACACGGTGTTTATATGTGTTTATAGCCGGATAATGATGTAATATGGTGTACAAAACTCTGCACGTCCAAAAGAATATTCTCTCATGGAAGTCGAACAGATAAAAGGGACAGGATTATAAAGAAAAGTTAATGAATTCGGGAAGTGAAGAATTATTGAAGGTTGATGGACAGCTCTTCTTGTTGTCAACCATGGACGTAAAAATCTTATAGGACAATACAATGCATCGCTAGGTTGATAGAGCGGTGATGGGGAGCCCATTCAGCCTCGTATCAGGAGATATTTCCTTTGTCTAGTCTTGGACAGACAACTCGACTTTGAGACAGATTAAATTTCAATTGTATGCGACGAATTGAGTTATACTTCATTTCTATTCTGCTTCTCAAACGTGCACAAAAGATTATCACTTCCACGATGGAGCGGAAAGCGCCGACGGTTTACACTCCTTAGATATAAAATTGGAAAGAAACTGGTCGGACATTAGAGATATCGATATATCATAAAGTTGCATGGAGTTGTCTGTACCTAACTATCAACAGCTCTTCCTCAGTCAGTTACAAAAGAACACCTGTGAAAAAGCTTTTCTCTGGAGTAAAAAGTGTATGTTCATTTGCAAGATTAGACAGCGAACTAAAATCTACTGAAAAATCCTTTTATATATTGGTTTCTCACAAAGCTTCACTAAGAAATATGGCAAAAATGAACGAAAGAAGCCTGATGCCGTTACGGTCGTCGAGAAGCCAGTTTCATCAAACTCGATGATGTTCTTATAAAAACCATAAACGAATGAATAAGCGCAGTCCCATTCAATAAAACGTCTGAAACCTGAGCTATTAAATCAAATGGAACGTGATGATGGATTTCCCGAATTCATTTTTTCCCGAACTTATATTTTCAATTCCTTCGATTTTGAACAATGCAAGAACTACAGTTTTAGCAGAATAAAATGGTACCATCTTTTATTTCGTTGCCTTCTCGTCAGCTGCTTACATGGCAAAGACATTATTAAATATATCTACAACAACAATTTTAACATACTTGCACAGAGTTAAGTTTGAACAAAAATCAATCGATCAATATGCTCATACACTAAAAATATATACATATATAAATATGCAATATTAACCACTATTCCGAACAATAATAATCAAACACAATGGAAACTTTTAGCATTTCACATTCGGAGGAAAGAGAGGTGAAATTATCCAGTTACCAGGGCAAAGAAAGGCTTATAACCGCTTCTTTCTGGACGCATAAATCAGGTTTCAGGCGCTTGATGGAAATGGCTTCAGCAAACTTAAGGAGAATTGAGCTATTTTGCTTATTGATAATTTTACATGTATCTGCGGGAGCAGCTACATTGGAAGGACAGAAAGAAGGGCATATCTACGATTTTCTGAACATGTACCAAAAAGCTTACGTCTAAAGGGAACAAATGCTTTAAATAGTACCAGGCGTCTTCTCGACACGGGTCATGAGGTGGACGTTGAAAAGTCGTTCAAAATTATCAATAAGCAAAATAGCTCAATTCTCCTTAAGTTTGCTGAAGCCATTTCCATCAAGCGCCTGAAACCTGATTTATGCGTCCAGAAAGAAGCGGTTATAAGCCTTTCTTTGCCCTGGTAACTGGATAATTTCACCTCTCTTTCCTCCGAATGTGAAATGCTAAAAGTTTCCATTGTGTTTGATTATTATTGTTCGGAATAGTGGTTAATATTGCATATTTATATATGTATATATTTTTAGTGTATGAGCATATTGATCGATTGATTTTTGTTCAAACTTAACTCTGTGCAAGTATGTTAAAATTGTTGTTGTAGATATATTTAATAATGTCTTTGCCATGTAAGCAGCTGACGAGAAGGCAACGAAATAAAAGATGGTACCATTTTATTCTGCTAAAACTGTAGTTCTTGCATTGTTCAAATTCATTAAGGGGAATAAATGTATGAAATTCCTTCGATTTTATCTGTTTGACTTCCATAAGAGATTATTCTTTTGGACGTGCGGAGTTTTACCCACCGTTTTACATCATTATTTTTCTATTTGACATCCTGGAAATAAACCTTTGGTCTTGTCTTGTCTAACTAGGTAAATGCTACTAATTTTTTGTTACCAACATAGACCACGAATTCTTCAAATAATTTTCGACAAACTTTTGTCGAGGTAGATACGTAAATAGACGTATGTTTGCACTCTCCTACTTTATTTGTCTTATTATCCTGATGTTTTATCTCACTATAACGCTTTTATAATATATCTGTTGATAAACGAAATTTTATGCCATATAACGCTGACTTTATTTAATAAACGTTAAAGATTGTACTTTGCTGATGAGAACCAACAATATATAATGGATCCAATGTACCAATATCTTCTCAAATTTATAAAAAGGCATTCTTCTACAAATTCTTCATGATTGTCGTTTGGATTACCTCAAAGAGAACACTGAATATATCGCTGAAGAATAAAATAAACAGGATAGTTACGTCTTGGTCGCTAACAAGCCTTTATGTTTTCATTTTATTTGTCAAAGAACTGCATAAACAATTGAACTGATTATCTGCCGCTCAGCAAATATGTTGAAGAAAAAAGAGTCGCGTTGGACACCTCCTCAGGAGAGCATTGAGTAGGATCATGCTCAGGCCATCACCCGAGTGAAAGTCAATGGTTGAATGACCACTTGAGCTTCCATAGCAAATATGAAGGAAATCCTTCGAGAAGTGGATGCAGGCCGTGATCAGCTGAAAAGTACTGTCAATAACAGAACGAAGTGATGGTTTGTAGTTGAGGCTCTGTGTTTCACTCAGAACTCAAGGGCTCAATAGAAACAGTGGTGAATTGTAAACAAGAATAGAGTTGTTCATTCTTTACTGGTTCAAAATACTAAAAGAATAAAAATAACTATCATCAAGACCACATAAGGCAGAATATATTCATGACGATTAATATACTAAGGGCAGGTATGAAGCTGTTCAAAGTACACTAAAAGCTTATGCCTCCTACGCATACACACTGCATTGGTTTACTTTGAAACATATAAATCAAGGAATATGAAAAGTCAATAGCAGTCCATCAACTCAGCATCAGGTGAGTTTAGATATCGATGAGTTTACAATAGTTTGATTGAAGTATTTATCAGTTATGGATAGTATTTTGCGAAACACAACTTAACTATAATGTGTCCAGCGGAACGATACTGCATATAAACATGAATTTAGATTTTGAGAAACAATGGTACATCTGATTTCACGTTGTAAAATCTTCACGATAAAGTAGTTCCGAAAGGTTTGTCACATAGCGACTCACATGGATATTACCTCAGCTGAAAACTGAAAACTTTCTTCGCTGTTTGTGCCTTTTCTTATGACTCAATATGGGAATATTTCATTCATTGGAAAACGGAAACTGTCAGATGTTCAGAGCACCAAAGTAAATACAGCACCAGATTAAGTACATATATATATCTACCAGTGACCGAAACCTGGAGTACTTTGTGAGCTGAGTGGTTGGTATTCATACTGCGATCAGTATAACAGATAATTCTGACACACAAATTAAGATCATAATATATTGATAAATAAAGTAAGAAAAGATCCATTCAGAGGATATGGTGATAAAGCGATGAAAGTGTAGGATTCTCTCCCAGGCACTGCATGAATGAAATGTGAAAATCCAACAAGCATCATTGTCAAACCGCTAAAGACATTCCTGACTGATGTTATTCTAGAGCACGGTAAGCTAAGGGCTTATTAGTCGGAACGCAGCACAGTTTAGGGTATGCTATTCTACCCATGACAACACCCTCTAGCTAATATATCGATTTAAGATATTCTGGTCAGTTTAGGCAGTCTCACAATCCATGAAGACCGGATTCAAGACACCGATAACAGATCGCTTCAAAGGACGCAAAGAAGGATGCATCTACTTCTGGAGGGTTGCTTCCTAAATTCGAATGTGCCCCAGTAGGATTCGCCTTCCGAGAATGGTGTTTTAGAGAATATTAACTTTACCCAAAACACATTTCCGACTTCACTACGACCCTGAAAACCACGATCCTTAATAATCTGTGAAGTGTAATTTCTTTTAGAGATCCTTAAAATGATTACTATTCTTTGGTTTAATAGTAACTTTTGTATAATCATCTTGGTATCAAAAACACTTGTGCTTCACAGGCTGCATTTGATTATTTCAGATATTTCAATTGAAAGCTAATCCAATTTTCTATTACAGGACTACGTGAAAGATAAACATGAACGCAAAATTGAAGGTATGTCGAAAAATGCACACGACTTTATTGATAAAATACAAATCTTCGACTCACTCCTGAACAAAAGTGTTTCCGAAAGGTAGGCAAATTAACGCATTTACACTGAAACATATAATCAAATCAAATACATCTTTTTCACGTGTTTAATGATTTTGGTGACGGTATTACTACAACAGGCGTAGCAAACACGTAAGACTGTATTGTAGTGGTTCTTTTCTCATAACTATGATCTCAGTGAATCTCTTAGATATCTGTACGAAAGTTTCTACATGCCACTGGTGTTTTTGTAAGTCATTTGATATAAATTGTATCATACATTTCCTTACAATGATTAAAAATTAGTTATGTTAATTTATTTGTCAGGTGAATTGTGTGTTACAGTTATTTTGTCGTTTTCTCATGAACTATGTATGTACAAACTTTGCTTGAATTCAAACAGTGTCATTGTAATGATTGAACTGAAACAGTCGCTAATAGTATGTAGTTCTTCATGAAATGCTGATGAATGATGTTATTGATTCTCTTTGGCTAAACAGTTCTGTCATCTTCTCTTTTAGAATACTTGGTGCGATTCCTGTACTGCCGTTGTCCATTTTCCAGAAACTGGAAGAAGATTTTCCACTTAATGAAATACTTATAGCACTTTCGGTGAGTTCGAAGACTCAACTATTGAATGCATGTTTCTTTCCCACAAAATAACGACAATTTCACAAAAAGCTATGGACATGCACCAAAGTATGAAACACATACATGTTGGCAAAAAAACTGTCAGACTGGTCATAAATACATTGAAAGATGTTACTTCATAGAATAAAACTATGACTCACTGTTCACACAGTAAAAAAGAGGTGAATAGGTCGACCTAACCAGTAAAATTTGTCTCCAGCGGTGTGCATTCATCCGACCGATATGTTTAGTGATAAAATATGGGTGATAGAGGGCTCCTGTCGAATGATACTAGAAACCTTTAGGTCACAGAGGCACCATGCTACAGTAGGTCATCGCTCCATGTTTTTGCAATAAAATGACTAAGAATAGGTTTGACTCAAATAAACTGATAAATCCAAATGACTCGTTGAAGAGTAGGCCTGTTAGCCTCAAGCGACTTCCAGAATGTTTGTTTGCAGACGAAATAACAGATACTTCAATCAGTCACTGAAATAGTTACTTTCAAATACACATTCACTAAGCTGCTGACTCATCGAGCAGTTGGACTGTTGTCAACAGAAGTCAAAAAAATTGCACACTACCAGAAACCGCCAGTCAATCTCTTTGTAATAACACTAGTAAGTTGATGCAGGTTTGAAAGCCTCTAGGTTTATGAGATACGAGGCAAAGTTTTAAAAGGGATATCACGTGGTTATATTTTATCATATAGAATAACACTATTTGTTTTAGAGGTCACATTGATGGATCCATATGTTTTGAGTCGTTTTATTCGTTAAATGCAAAGAAGGAAACTAAGACGGCATAATCAACCTGCTGATTGCAAAATCTTCCATAGTTTTATAGACATGTAGACTGAGCGAACTGCGTGAAAACGCAAAACAAATCATATCAACAAAAATAGGCTGGAGAAGGACGGCATACTATATCATATTTCGACCTGGTTAACAACCAATCATCATGCAGTCACATACTGCGATTGTACTCATATGTTACATGTATTTGAGTGTGAATTCGTCCCTGAAGTCCTTCTTATAACTTTAGATTTTTATTTATTTATTAATTTAATTTTTAATTTAATTTAAACATATTGTAGGTTTTGTTATGGTCTTTGGCATTGCATACTATAACCACAATTTTGAGACGTTTTATTATTGTACCATGGGGGATTACAATCATTCTAGCTGTGGTGCCATTGATAATTGGTTGCAAAACAGAAAAGCAGAGTGCAAAAAAGAGAATAATACTAATGGGCGTTGCTTGTGGAATGATTCTTTTGAGTGTCGTCCTCCTTATTGCTTTTAGACTTTCCAAATTTGAAGTAAGTAACAAGTTAATTCATCCAAAGAATTTTTAAGTAGGAGAATCTGAATCCTCGCTGTTATTATCAGTCACCCTTTATTTTATATATTTCAAATGTGAATTGGATTTGTTGAAGCATGATGGTATTAGAAGATATTTTGATGCTTCTGTGGTCATTGATGAAGAACAGATTCTATGGATGCTTCTCGTAACCGCCTCATTAATTGATGAGGTTAATAATTGGGATTCAAATTTGACAGATTTGAGGGCACCGTGTTAGCATTAAATCAGTGGGTACATAAATTTTCCATTCTTCAGAACATTTAGTGTTTCATCCATTTCATATAGTTTTAATGATCACACTAACATCATGAAACACAATCTATGCTCGCGCACAACTTCGAATAAATTTCCTCTTACCTTAGGCAACTCCTCGAAGACAAGTGAGTCAGAAAATTTCGGAGGTGTACTGGAATAAGTTTCGACTGGAACAAAATTTATCCGCTTGTTGTGTCATTGATATATATATTAATTAAAGTTAATGTACAACCAGTATGCATCTTCCAATGAAGGTCTCTGAGAATTCTGTATTATAAATAGACTTATGTTTCAGAATAAAGCTATAATTATTATGTCAGATGACTAGAGGCGCTAAAAAGGATTAACTGTATAGTATTCATACATCATACTTACCACCAGATATACAGAAGGTAAATATTTTGTAGTCAGGTAGTGGATATCAAAGAGATAAATGTAAATTCGTTCATATTTGAGATTGAGTATTATTTCATTTTAGTCGAAATTGAAGTAATAATATTGCTTTCTACCTTTTACTTGCAGAAAACTGCATACATTTCCACTGGACTGTCCTTGGCTTTCGCTATACAACTTGTGGGTCAGACATTGAATTTCGAAGATATTCATGTGTTATTTGTCTTTCATTCCGAATTTTTCAATTACCAGGTAACTGCATACACTGATAATCGCTTGTTTTAATATCTCCTGCGGTAAATGTAAGTAAAATTATACAAACTGGCGAGAAATTAAGGATCTTCTCCTTGACACAGCATCGAAATACATCTCATCGAAGACTGGTGACAGTTGCGTAATTCGTGAATAATGAATCTGATTCGCTTAAAGATTTAATGAACATATATCAGTTTTGGAATACATGATCACTTCATTATCTCCACCTCATAAAATGGAACTAATCGCTGTAAGAATTTCGAAATTCACCACAAATACAAAAATAAACTTACCCTTCGCTGGAATAAAAGAGAAAGAATCAAGTAATAATTCTTGTCATCCCGGAGAGACTAAACGATGCTACTGATTAAAATCACTTCCTCAAACAAGCAGATTTCAGGGAAATGAAATCGTTTTAGATTCCTTTGCATAATCGAGCAAAGAATTAGATGGAAGCCAAATCTCTGCATCAACTTCATCGAATTTGAAAAGGCCATCAACAACGTTGACCCCGAAACGACTTCGAAACTGCTTCAATACAATAAACTGCGCATAACTGTTACTAACGTCATTCAACAGCTATATGAAAATGGTACATTTCAAGTGAATCATAGGGAAAAGCTGTGCGATGCCATCGAAATGAAGAGGGAAGTTCAGGATACTTATTATCGCTGGATGGCAGAAGACGGAAACAATTTGGCTTCATAATAAGATCCTTGAAGATCTGAAGTTCATTGATGATTTATGCATGATGTCGCATACATTCAATGTTATACAAGAAAAATCAAAAATACGGAAAAAGAATCATTGTAGGTAGGACTACAAATAAGCTTACTCCAACTGGTCTGGATCAACAAAACAAATTTGAATGGGTTCACCTCTTTTACTTTTTTGGGCAGCATCGTTTGAACTTGAGTTCTCATGTCTGAGAATCTCAGAGGTAGAATGATGAAAGGTTGACAGATATTCTTTACTCTGAAATCAGTTTCAGAGTCTTCTTCAGTTAAGGGAAGGAACACTGTTCAACATTTCAACACTGATGTCAGACCGGTCACTGATTCTGAATAGTCCAGAGACTTGGTGAACATGTAACAAAGGCACTGTGAACAGATAGCTGCAGGCTTTCATCAACAGTCTGCCATTGACGGCTAGATACTGAAGATCAAATGGCTGGCTAGAATGGATAATAAGGAAGAAACTTTGTCACTAGATCAACCAAGAACCTGTTGTCCGTAAAATACACAAACAAAAACTGTGATGGACTGCAGAAGACAGTTGAGTGACTTCGCGCGCCAAAAAAATCATCGACTGAATATGGTCTGAACGAATATTTTTGTGAAGAAGGTGAGCGCTTATGTGTATCTATGAAGCCAACTGTAGACGACTGCAGATCACGAGGATGAAATACAGATGTACTGCAGAAGCCCACTGTTCCAGTCGGAATCCAAGGGAATAAAAATATACAACATTTGTAACCAACAGCAAATATATATATATATATATATATATATATATGTCTGTCATGATTACACAGTCTGAATTTATTCCGTACCACAGTTGATCTTATTTTAGCGTGGAAATTCCTCTAATTTTCTTTAGCTAAGGTTAATGTAAATATGAATGCAGTGATTAATCTTCTAATTCCCACTGTTTGCATTATACCTTTCCCTCTGGTAGGTGTTATATCTCGCTGGACAAGGTTTAAAGCGTTGTGGCAATGCAACAACGAAGACCCTTCTGCCAGCTTGGTTGGCCCTTATTACTTGAGCGTGTGTTGCACTGTTATTTATATCCATATCATTTATGTTTATGGAGGGCAAAGTTGAACAAGAGAACTTTTAATACTTCAACGTGTTCCTGTTTGGCAATTTAAATGTCGTTTTTGTGCATAAATCATCCAACTGTTTGTTCCTATACTTGGTTTTGTTTTCAAGATGAATCCTATTTAAAAAATATATTTTGCATTCATAAATGTTATCCTGTATTATACCAAGTGAGTGGTTTTCTGTAATGTGTTAGGTAGACAAACATCATCTGCTACCCGTCGTATAATGAGTAGGTGTCACCTTCAACTGAGGAAATTAGCACGAAATTCAATATTTAATTTCCGTGTTTTCTTAGCATCATCAAATAAGCATAAATAAATGATACGGCAGTCTATACAGATTACATGTTTCAAATAATGTGCTGGTCGGTCGGAATCCCTTAAGTGTATTCACGCGCTAAGAAATGGCTCATCTCACAACTCTAAAGAAACGAATACTCACCTGAAAATATGAGCGGACATCACCTAGGGCTGAATTCAGAGCTGTCCATCCCAGCGCTTGAAACATTTTGACTGTAACTGGTACATAAGTTCATCATCTAGAGTAGTCAGTGTGCCGTGTCTAGTATTTAACGTCGATAAAATTTCTGCTGATCACTTGAACGTGGTATCCGCCAAGCCAAGCGTGATACCTATTGAAACGACGTTAAGTAAATGGAGAGAATTGTTTATCACCACTGAACTACTTGCGTCTCTAACTGACTATTCCATGGTAATAATTATTTTATTTTGGCAAATAAGTAGGAATAATCCGAGTTCACAAAGATAAATAAACAAGTTCTGATCGAAAAACTGAAAATGTGGTCTAAAGACTGAGTTCCCGACAGAAACACTCTTATTTATCACTGTCAGTCTCCGGAGTCCAGATAAGTGCAGCTTAAACAAAATGTGATAAGTCATTATTTGTCTTTACACTTTACAAACTTTGGCCTGTAGTTTGCCAAGATTTGAATAATAGCATGGAGGAGTCTACATCATTATTCAAAAAAGATATTCTGAAACTAATGAAAATAAAGAAGCAACACACATAATAAAAATTTTACTTACCACAAATCTGTATGTTGCATTATAATTATCATTTCATCAGAAATTGTCAAACCTACCAGGACAATGATAGCCAGCTATGTCATTCCTTCAACCGTAGCCGGTGGTATGATGCTACTCTTCTTTCTCCTCCTCACCACTTTATATTCAATGATGAGTGCCGTCACAACAAAAGCTAAAGCCAGAAACCATGCTAATATAGTTCGAAAATGCAAGGATCTATTCAGAGCAGGCGACCAGAAAGACTCTAATAAAATCTACAGTGTACAAAGAATAAATATGATAACAGAATTATCGCGATGTCTCCTCAGGAGATTCACGTACTAACCCTGTAAGATGCGAAGCCATGGAGGGATGCGATGCTCTTTTCACTTGCTCCTTATGCATAACCACAAGCGACAAATTATCTTGGCGGGATTCGGAAAAAATGTTTGAAAACCGGAAGCTTGAATTCGAATATATCAGATGACACATTACTCTTGGAAAATGCGTGGTTCATCTTTGGGACTGCTACCAATGTCAGACCAATACCAAGTGTCGTGGATGCATTATTACCTGGAAATACTCCTTAATCTTTTCTTTAAGGATAAAGGCTGCCACGAAAATTCTACTGTATACTGCCGAAGGATATAATGAAACTGGTGTATCAGAAAATCATCACGATGATGTTTTATACTTTTGAATGCTCGTTACAAATAATGTCGGTTTCAAATCACACATAATAATGTCACGGTAACAAAAGCTGACAGATAAACTTGCATGATTATTATGTAACTGTTGTCTGAAACAATATCACACGAACACACACACATAGACCAAAATATAACGTTTCTCAAGTGGTCTTCTAATTAGTTGTACTGTGAGAAAACCATAACATTGCAGACATGCATGTTTGCTGAGCATATTATAGTAGTCATGTCATCCAAACCACTACACATGTAGAAATAATGTACTTGATGTTAGTCTTTGTAACACTTTCAATAATCATCTAATCTGCCTTATTTTCGAAGACTAATTCCTTCAGAATTAAGTAGAAATTTTTAATTCTATGAATAAGCATTTTAGCTTTTATCTCAGACCTTGGAATTTTCGTCCATTTTCGCTTTTTAAGTTATCTAGGACTCGGTATGATCATCAAAACAAATACTTAAATTGTTTTAAAGCAGATTCCTAAATACGAGTATAGATAATTTCAGAATAACAATTCGATTAATTTATTTGACAGCTTAAAAATCGTATGGATGTTGAATTCACAGAAAAAAATCTTTATTTCATAGGTGATTAGCAACTTTAATCTGAAACCTCCGTCAATTCTTCCGATGTTCCCGATTTGACAGTTTGACAGGTGTTTTGAGTGTTTCGTTCTAAGTATAAGATAGTTGAAGGGAATTTTCAGGAAGCTTTGGACCTAAGTTTAATTCTTGTTGACAGTCGTCAGCAAGGCGTACCCGCAGTCGTGAAGAAACTCATGTCAATTCTGAGATTCAAACCAGCGTCCTGGGCATTTTTGCTGAGCTAGTCGGGCTCGTAAGTTATCTCCTGTAGGACTATATTGGTTATTTTTGACTAAACATTAGTCAATAACTAGTGCAATGCATCCAGGCCTGTCTTTGAATAGTTGTTATAAACTGAAATGAAATGTTCTATGTGGAAAACTACATTGACTCACATTTCAATGCAAGTAACCAACTTCTGGAAAAAGTCTTGAGGAGTGTGAATTTTAAAATCTATTTCTGTGTCACCAGATGTGGTCTTTTATATGGTAGACGTAACAAAGAATCTAACCCTTTTCTTTTTCATTGCTTCCAACGAACCGTATCCAAACATGACAGGACTCCACGAATAAAGCATTAAATGGAATATGAATGTCAGCTGCCTTTGGCTAAATATACTTCACTCAAGTTAGCCTGGTAATGCGAGAATAACGCACTTCAAAACAACGCTTTTTTACACTAATTAACGCCTGCAGTTTGCTTCGGTAATCAGAATTATCCATGATAACTGCTAATGAACATTAGTATGGATCATTAACACTAAAACGGACCTCCTTTCCACTTACCATGAAACCTTTGACATTCACGCAAAATCTTGATATTGGATTGACCATTACAGAGATAAATGTCAGCAGTGAGTCATTTAGTTCGTATTATTATGTTTGTTAACCGCTGATTCACTCGAGTACCATGTTTATTGGAATTCTCTAATAGTTTCTGCATTTTTTTATGTTTTTAAAATTTCGGCGTTTTCCCAATCAAAATGGTGTCCACAATTATCTCTATGCACTTATATGAAAGATTATGCCTATTAACCTTTTACAGGTAATTTGTGATCCTGGATTCTGATTCGAAGGGGACGCCCACTTTGGCCAATGTAATGTCTGTTAAACTTCATAAAATTTATTTTGTAATTGATAATAATTTATTTTCATTCTCTGTTGGATCTTTCGGTTTACAAACACGGTTAAAAAGAGTTCAAACACACTGTTGAAGAGAATGGAAGAAAAATACCTACTAACCGTCTTCTTTAAGAATGAATACCCTCAAAATTTCACCTAAACCTGTTTAAAACCAAAACTTCGACACTACAAGAAACGATCACCAAAGAATACAAGAAAATTCTTCCATATATAAAACAATATCTCTGAAATAACATCTAGAATATTAGGACCGTAGATACAGCACACAAGCCATCCCAATCATTTCATTAAATATTTTGTACTCCTTGAACGAGATTTCCACGTGTTTTGTAGTTACTTTCAAAGTTCATTCGTGGGTAAGGCTTGTGTTTAGATTTGATCAAGTGTTGCAGAACAGAGTTTTGGAAGGCGAGGATCTTCCTACCTTTTATCTGAAACCATGTGAACAAGTCTTCGTAGATACGTTTGGATAGCAACCACTAAAGAGGTACAAATCAAATTCCTCAAACCGCCAAAGCAATATCGATTCACTTGTTCAATGCTGAGCTGGTCATAACAAAGACGTTTGTTCAGTCAATAAATCTTTAATGAACCTGATCTACCCCACATCAAGTAAGAAGATTTTGTTTATCGGTTTTTAATTGTATTATTTTCTATCCCCTCACAACGTATTAACTCTCTCCCAACTTATTGTATTTGCTAATGCGAGCATATAGTTTTCTAAATAGACTTCTGGTTTCGCCTGATGAGATACAAGGGGAGAGTTGTGAATGAAGAGGGGGTTGTGAGTAAGATAAATGGATTAAGCACATTTTTCACATGAGTCCAAGTGCCTGTCAACTAGAATATTAACAAGCTGGTTAAGTGGCACGTTGCTTACCCTACTAACAATCTTTAACATCCTGTGTAATAAGGTATAATCTTTCTTCAGTAGCCCAGGTAAAACTAAGGGGAGAAAAAGAGAATAATAGGCAGAATACGGGAGTTAACGAATTGAAGGAGTAAGGGTTGGGTTATGCCAGAATGTCTTAACTTCTTGATGTAGAAGGTAAGACGGAATATTTTCTTCGAAATCGTCAAGATATGAGACGACCAGGAAAGATCGGAAGATAGAGTGACGCCTAGGTATTTAACATCCGACTTGGTTTCAATTTCAATGCAATCTATGTTGCACACCTCGTGAGTGCTAACCAGTTTGTTTAGGTCAGATTTGTGACTAAAGGTGAAATTAACTGTTTGGCATTTGGAGGGGTTTAGGGTGAGACCGTTTTCCTTGGACCATTGGCTGATTTCTGATAAGAAACCATTCAGTTTAGAGCAGTCACTTTGAAATTTGGCAGGTAAAGATACAGTTAGGTCATCATCATATTTGACAAAGTTAATGTCATTTGAAGATGGTAGGTCATGTAGGAAGAATGAAAAGAGAAGTGGGGAGAGTACAGCACCTTGGGGGACACCAGCTTCAGTGAGCACAGCAGAGGAGGATTCGCCTTTGTATACAGTGTACTGCATTCTGTTTGAAAAGTAGGAATGCAACCAGTTAGTGACCCAGGACTCGGTTTGTGTCATGGAGAGCTTATTTAGCAAGAGACATCTAGGTACAGAGTCGAAAGCAGAAGTGAAGTCAAGAAACGTGCAGCGGACATATTTTGCACCTTTATCTAATGATGAGACGATACTGTTGTGTAAGACGGCTGCAGCGTCTAAAGTACTCCTACCCTGTCTGTAGGCAAATTGTTTGGGGTCTTCGAAGCTTTTAAGGGAGGGTTCGAGTTTAAGAAGTACTCGTTTTTCCATGAGCTTTAGAAACGGGGAAGGGATGGCAACGGGTCTGAACTTTACGTTCTTGCTATTTCCAGGTTTAGGGACAGGGACTATTTTAATGTCTTTCCATGGAACAGGTACAACGTGCAAGGATACAGAAGAGCTTTAGCGTTCTAAGACATTTTAGAACATCGAGAGTATTAAAGTCATGAAAGTTATCAGCTACATGATTATTAACGTTAGAAGTAGTTATAGTGCAAGGAGTGCGTATAAAAGACTGATTAAGAGCATTAACATCATAAGAGGGGAAAAACATTTCATCGCTTACTATTGCCAGTAATTTCATTGAAACGTTTCCACATGCTGATTTGCATGATGAGTGTATGATTATACACAGTAATAAGATTTTTGATTTCAGATTTGATTTGGGCATTAATCTTCTTAAGTCCTAACTTATCTTTGAGTTTACAAAATGTTTCCTTTTCCCGCGTGGTTGTTTCAGACGAGGAGAGGATAAGCGGTCGAAGCGTTTGAATAGTGTTTGTTTGGGACAGAATATATCGAGGAAGAACTTAAGATAATCCGTTATATTGGCGATTGTGTCGACGATTTGTCTAACAGTAAGAGCTATTTCGAGTGCAAAAATGTCATTCTGAGTATGAACTGACTCCAGGAAGACTTGAAGTACTATTCTTGTGGACTGAGCTTTATTCCCACCTCGCTTTGAATATCCTCCAGGAGTAGAAACTAGCTTTCGCAGTTGAACTTACAGTGCTTGTTCTGTATTCAGAAACATGCATTGCTTGAATAGTTGACCTATAGCATTGTTGAGGTGAATCTGAGTTTGAAATCACTAATGTTTAATAGAACCACTGTATAATAGAAAAGATTTGTAACACAAGAGGATGATTTGCAATTAATAGTGTTCTCTGAGCTGGTTGGTTTAGTTGCGGAGCTTTTGCCGTCTTTCTGGACGGCATCTTCAGCGCAGTATTTAGCAGGAGACGGAATTGTATCATCATTCATGGAGATTTTTAAATCATTTTATTTTATGCTAAATACTGCGCTGAAGATGCCGTCCAGAAAGACGACCAAAGCTCCGCAACTAAACCAACCAGCTGAGAAAACACTAACAATTGCAAATCGTTCACCTGCGTTGCAAATCTTTTCTATTATTTCAAAATCTTACGAGCGTGATACGCTTCTTTTTTGTCGAAAATGGGAAGACTTTGCTAAACGGCAAGTTTCTACGGAAGAACAACTATTCTTTCTTCATGAATGTCTCCGCCAGCAGATCCTACCAGCTTCTGTCAAATATAAACCACCAATTAACTGCCCTCTAGGCTGGAAGCTAGCCAAACAACATGGAAAACAAATGGCGAAATTAATGATCACGGATGCGCACAATAGGATTAAAAAATGTCAACACATGACTAGATTTCAGAAAGAGAAGCTTGAACAGACTCTTACCCCAGAACATCTGTCAACATTGAATACTGTCATCAAATTGATAAGCGAACGGCACAAGGAGCGAAGACGAGTTGTCCTCAAAGGAAAACTAGCTAAGATATCCAAACAACCATCTGAAGAAACTCTAAATGATTGCGTAGTGAATCTATCGAAACAACCATTATCGAAAGCCGAAGAACAACTTCTTCAGAAAGGACTCAACTACAATACTGGTAAAACCTCAGTAACAGATTTTTGTGCTTCATTAGAATTATCATTCAAATTATCGAAATTGAATGAGGAAGTACAACGAGAAATACGTCAACGTATCATACCTATACTCAAACAAAAAAGACATAATTCCCAACTTAGCACTGAAGAGAAAAATGCATTGAAGAAACTGAAGAATAGAAAAGATATAGTTATTCTACCGGCTGATAAAGGAGGAACAACAGTAATCCTGGACACAGAAGACTACATAAAGAAAGCAGAGGGTTTACTCAAAGATAATAATGTATGTCAACAGTTGACAAAAAACCGTATACAAACATTCGATAAGAAAATCAGAACAACGTAAAATAAACTAACGAAATCAGGACAAATTACAGAACAAGATCAATGGCAAATGAGATCTAACTGACCTATTTTACGTCGATTCTATGGTAGACCGAAACTACAAAAACCAAACATCCCCTTACGACCAATCGTCTCGCTTCCAGGAACACCAACATATAATCTATCTAAAGAACCCTTCAGGAAGTTAAATTACCTAACAGAATCATGCGACCATTCCATCAATTCGTCAATCCAATTTTTAGAGAAAATCAAAAACATTCAGGTAGAAGACAATAAAATAATGGTATCCTTTGATGTCACAGCATTATATACTTCAATTAGTCCAAAACTAGCAGCAGAAACTATGCAACAATTACTCTATAGTGATGAAAACATAAAAACGCAATGTTCAACTTGGATAGAACTCATAAAATTATGCCTATAACATACTTTCAATGCAATACTCAAATATATGAGCAAATAAAGGGAGCACCAATGGGATAGCCCATATCAGGATTAATAGCTGAAGCCGTTATGCAAAGATTAGAATTAATAGCTCTACCTATAATAAAACCGAAAATCTGGGTACGCTACGTTGATGATACATTTGTAATAATTAAGAAAAATGATTTAGAATATACCCATAAATTAATAAACAATATATTTGAAGACATCAAATTCACAAGAGAAGAAGAATTAGATAACAAAATCCCATTTTTAGATGTCTTAATCAGGAGAACCAACACAGGAAATTTAGAAACACAAGTATATAGAAAATCAACGCACACAGATCAAATACTCAACTATTCTAGCAATAATCCAATTACTCACAAAAGAAACTGTGTGCAGACATTGTTTAGAAGAGTTCAAACACATTGTAGCACACCAGAGTTGAAAAGAATGGAAGAAAAATACTTAGGAACGGTCTTCAAGAAGAATGGTTATCCAAAAAATTTCATCAAAAAGTGTTTAAATTCGAATCAAAGCACAATCACCAAAGACCAAAAAGAAATTCATCCTACCATACATCAGAAATATCTCTGAAATAACGGCTAGAATAGTGAAACCGTTTGATTTAGATGTAGCACACAAACCAGCCGAATCGCTTAATTCGATCTTATGCAAACCAAAAGATCCGACAGAAAAAGGAGATAAAATAACACCTTTTACAAAATAAATTGTATGAACTGTAACAAACATTACATTGGCCACAGTGGGCGTCCCTTTCGAATAGGAATCCAAAAGCACAAGTGAAAAGACATGATATAAATTCTTTAGTATCAATGCATACAGATAATTATGGACATCAATTTGATTAGGATAATCTTAAACAGAGGAAACACCAAATGTGCCAGTGAATTCCTAGAAGCCTGGTACTCAAACGAAAATGCCATTAATATACACGTTAATATAGATGAAATATATCAACTAATAAAAAGCAAATCAGGTGACCAGAAAGTTTAAAATCCCACTCAATAGAAAACGGTCAATACATATGTGAAGATGGTTGGTCACCAGGAGACGTAATTGTATCATCATTCATGGAGATTTTTAAATCATTTTATTTTATGCTAAATACTGCGCTGAAGATGCCGTCCAGAAAGACGGCAAAAGCTCCGCAACTAAACCAACCAGCTGAGAGAACACCATTAATTGCAGAACCACTGCATTTCATATCGCGAATCCAATTTAGAAGTTGTCTAGTGACCATTTACTTCACTATGCGCAATAAATTATGCTTGAAATATCATGCAGTGAATGATAATAATTCACTGTGTTGTTTATTCAAATCTACAAATAAAACATTAGTTTTGTTTATATGAGGTAGGCTTGTGAGCCTCGGTCTCAGCCTTTCTCATTCACCCTTTTAGATGTCGGCTTCAAGAGGTTAAGGAGCGCGTTGATCACACGTGCGTATGTTTCCACGACTCAGCCAATGATCTTTCATAACAATTAATGTTTTTGAAAACAAGACGGTGAAAATGGATACGGCATTAAGCCCTTGTGGATCTCCGTCCATAAATAAGTAGACGACAACTCTCCGTGGATGAAAGAAAGGGAGAGCAGAGTTTGACTGGAAAATTGAGGTGAGATTTCTCATTTCGTTAAATCTCTTTTGTTTGTAGGCTATTCACGAGATTTGGTATAAAACGACAAACATTTCGAGCTGATTTCCTGGATTCACCACATATGCATGATCTTTCACGTGTATTGTTGATGAGCGGAGTTAGACGCATCGGAAAATTTATCGCTCAGGCGATGTGAGCATATTCTTATTATCATATATATACATATCTGACGAATTCCATAACCCTTTTTGTGTAATAACAGTATTTGTTAGACGGAAAGATTCTGAGGCAAGCAAGATTAGCCATCACCAGTGCTAAAATATTCAACGTTTCCGTTTCAAGTCTTTAGATAGACACATCGCGAATCAAACATTGCGTCTACAAATTCAAGGCAACGTTTTCTGTCCCCAAAAGTAGCTCTTCCAGCTTTGAAGTCTCGTTAAAGTAGAAATCTCACATTCGTCATCAAACATCGAGACGCCAGATTAAGTTCTGCAGAATCTGAAACTGTTCATCCTCTCTGATATCATTTAATGATCTAGTGCATTCTATTCGTCACAAACACGTGAGTACAATGATGGATGAATATTGAGCATTGTAACAAAATTGTGGTTTTGATAGTTATTGCTGAATAGATTTTTGATTCTTTGCACAGGTGAAATGTCTGCAGTCAGTCTTCAGGTCACTGCGTCATCGATTTGCATGTAACTTTTCTATTTTACTTTTTAAACTTAAACAAAACTTTCATAATAATATAAACTAATAATAATTGGAAACTACTGACTGCAAACTCAAGAATTAGCAATCACTGATATTGGAAGGCATGACCGAAGAAATGCTGACTTCAGGTTTGGGATAATTTCACTGTTTTAGTATTCACTCATCTAGTGAGATGTAGAAAATTGTTACATATCCGAAACCATAATATTCAACTGGAATCATAAAAGATTACCTGTTCATAAAATATCTTCATAACTCTCATTCATAAAAGCCAGTCAACCAAATTTCATATACTTTTGTGCTCCAGTTGACTGAAACTCAAGACCTAATTTGTAAAATATTCTGATGAAGTTGTATTCATAAAATAATCTATTTACCCTTCCAAATATCTGAGGATTCCAACTTTCAGTACCACTACCAAATGATTTGAATGAGAAATTATAGAAAATTGATTCATCAAAGGTGTGTATCAAAATAAGGAGAATGTTTTGCTGCTTACATAGATTCTGTAAATGTCGTCAACATTCTCGGAGTTGAAAAGCCTAATTGTGGGGCATTCATCTTTTTTTTGCAGACGACATATTCAGCGATAACCTCGATTTGATGTGGACTTCAGGATTCTCCATGAATTATGAAGGCGTCTGTATTAATAAACTTTACTTGGGAAATTTAGCTTCAGATTATTATTATTATTTTTGTGAGTTTCGAGTGAAACGTAGGCCTAAGACAACACAAATCCACTCTGTTCTGTTTGGTGCTCTTCTCTAGGGCTGTGACCACGATCAACCTTAATCTCTCCTTTAATCCGACCCGCAGAATCTCCTCCATGTCACACTCCGACGACCCACTGGTCGCTTTCCATTGTGATTCCACTTGAGGGGCTGATGCACGATGTTATTCAACTGTCTCCTCTGCACGCGTCTAATTCATCCCACTTTTCCTCTACATTATTGCTAATCGACTGGCTCTTGCTTTGATGCTGGAGATTCTTGTAAACAGTTCTTTCTGTCTAGCCATTTGACCGTTATTTGGAAGGCAATAAATGCAGTTGCCGGTAAAAGTCTGTTACTTTTTTTAAATAGATTTGTTGTCACGCTTGTCAATTTTCTGACACGTTTAGAAGAACTGAATATCCTACACTGATGCTAAACATCTGAATCTTCTTTTTTGTGTTGAGTTCAGAATATTTCCTAGCCGATTTCAGAAAAGTAAATATGTATCTTGCATTCTCAAACCTGTATATGACATCATACTTTTCACCTGTGGTTGTAGGGATGCTTCCTAGATATTTTATTTTAATTCCGTAATGTTCTGAATGAAAGGTTGCATAAGAGTTTTGGATTAATTGTTAACAAAATACCAGCAAAATGAAAGATGGTAAACAATTGAGTCGTCATCAAGCACTTTGAATATAAGTGAAATTATATAACCCTTCTGATAACCGGAAGGATTCATCTGCAAGAAAGTAACAACGATGAGAAATAATTATAAGTTACATGGATGTGGGTTCAAACAACTTCGACGAATCACTCAGTAAATGCGTGATGGCCACTAATAAGTACTTTACTTCTCTTGAGTTCTGAATAGCTCAATACGCTCGAACAGTTCAATCCTGTGTTGTCATCTCGAAATAACCCTAAGACTGCCAGCAGTCTGTTATCTTCTGCTCTCACGACCTCTTGCCTGTCACCAACGGACACCCAACCAGTTGTCTTCTAATCAGATTCCACTCATGCTAAGATCTGGAGCATGATATTATTCGAGGATTTCCTCGGAATGTGTCCACTTCATCTCCATTTCCTCCTGAATACTTTTTGATTAATAGGTTCTCCGTTCGTTCGCTACCACTCTTCCTTGTTACATATCCCTTCTTGTCAGTTCATCGTCAGTATGGAACCATAGAATGCTGCTGTTGGTGGGCAACTGCAGTAACCTATTGGGGATGCTTTTTTTCACACACATAAGAACTAGCGTACTCAATACCGATAGTGTAAATCTACATTTCTCACTTATGTTGAATGCAGAAGATTTAAAAACTGATTCTTGCTGCATTCCTGACTTCAATAATAATAATAATAATTTTTGCTTTATTCCAAAAACAGTACTAATGATTCATCAATGAATTTTCAGCATTCAGTACAATATTGCATCTAATTTACTCAAAAACGACAAAAAAAATTAAAAATACACATTACATAACAGTAATAAAACGATTATTATAGCAGCTACATAGCAAAATACTGTATGCCATACGGAGAAAAATATGCATAAAGTACAAAATTGTAGTAATAATAGTAATACCAACTAAATAAAATAGCAGAGTAACAATTAAACGATAGAAAGTGTGACACCATAAAATACAGAAAGATGAACGATAAAAGGGTCGATTCACTGTGCTAATTACATAGTAACTTGTAAGTTTCACGTCTAACAGAGTCTTCGTCACATAAAGTACGCGCTAAATAGGGTATTGTAGAATTTCTATACTCAGTGGTACGAGCATATAACTTTTTATATTGACTTCTCGTCCTACCTGATGAGATAGAAGGGGACAGGTGTGAATAAAGGGGGTGCAGAGGGTCAGACAGTATAGCCTCTGCCCATTTCGTACAGGAATTTATGTGCCTCTCGACTATAGTATTAGCGAGATCATGCAGTGGCAGACCACAAGCTCTACTCACAGCATTTAATACTCTTCGTAATATGATATAGTCTTTTTTGAGAAGCCCAGGAAAGATTAATGCAGAGCACTAGAGTACAATAGGTAAAATACAGGAGTTTAAAAATTGAAAAACTAAAGGTTGGTTGATACCTGATTGTCTTAACTTTTTAATGTAGAAGGTAAGACGAAACATTTTCTTAGAAATAGATAAGATGTGGGATGACCATGAAAGGTCAGAGGAAAGAACTAATCCAAGGTATTTAATGCTTGATTTGGTTTCAATTTCAGTGCCATCTATGCTACAGGGATCATGCGAGCTAACTAGTTCAAGTAAGTCACGTCGATGCTTGAAAGTAAAGTCAAGTGCCTGACATTTGGAAGGATTTAATATAAGACCATTTGACTTGGACCAGTTGTTGATGTCCAACAGAAAGCTATTAAGTTTGGAGCTGTCAGACTCGGAAGTGATAGGCAGTGATACAGTCAGATCATCTGCATATTTAACAAAGTTAGTATCGTTTGAATGAGGCAGGTCATGTAGGAAGAAAGAAAAAAGAAAAGGAGAGAGGACAGCACCTTGTGGAACACCGGATTTTGTACGCGAGGTAGAAGAAGATTTGCCGTTATATACAGTATACTGCATTCTATCAGAAAAATAGGAATGCAACCAACTCTTTGCCCAGGATCCTGTTTGTGTCAACGATAGCTTATTTAACAAAAAACCTCTAGGTACAGAGTCAAAAGCAGATGTGTAGTCTAAGAAAGCACTACGAACATATTTAGCACCTTTGTCTAAACAAGAGACAACACTGTTATATAAGACAACCGCAGCATCCAAGGTACTTCTACCATGTTTGTATGCAAATTGTTTAAGATCATTAAAAGGTTTCAAAGCGGGTTCAAGACGAAGTAAAAGTAATTTTTCCATCAATTTTAAAAAAAGAGAAGTAGTTGGAATAGGCGTAAATTTAATATGACTACCAGAAGATTGCTTTGGTATGGGGATAATTTTAATGTTTTTCCATGCAAAAGGTAGAACGTTACCGGAAAAAGAAGCATTAAAAATGTTAGTAAGAGGATAACACAAAATATCAGCACAGTTCCTGAGGACAATGGCAGGTATGCCGTCAGGACCAAGGCTTTGAGAAGGCTTAAGAGACTGGAGATATTTAAGCACATCAAGGGTATTAAAACCACTAAAGTTATTGTCAGTATGATTTGTATCATTTGAAAGGGTATCAACAGAAGAGCGTATGAAAGATTTATTAAGAGTGTCGACATTAAGAGATGGGAGAGAAATGCATCGCTTACCGTTAGTAATTTCTTTGAAAAGTTTCCATAAATTAGAAGGAGTTTTACATGACAAAAATCTTTGATTATATAAAACATTTAGTCAATAACTGATCGAATACAAAACATGGGCTTTTGTTGGATGACTGGTGTCCACAGGTCATCATTTGGCTACTGGTGGCTTTACTGAACGAATGGCAGATGACGGTTGATCAAGAGTTCTGAGAGGTGATCAAGCCATTGTTCTCTTTGTAACTTTCTTTTGAAAGATGCGTTCTCCTTAACATCATTTTGTGGTTACATCTACGCTTACCTTTTCCAGGACAGAGATCTTATTATCACATTTAATCTTCTGAGGTCTTTTCTGTTCCAAGGACGATAAAAATTGAATTTGACTCTTCTTTTTTTGTCGGTCTTCGCATAATTCATCCTGTTTCATCGTGACACTCTCTTCTATTGATTTGCAGTTGTCATTCCATATCTTGTTATCCTTTTCTGCCTAAAGCACTTGTAAATGTTTTTTCATGAACAGTTTCAGAGACTTTAAACGTTCTCCATATAGGTTTTCTCAGTGAGAACACACAGTGTCGCCAACATCACTCTGATGACCGTCGTGAATGTGTTTTTTCGCTCTGTCCTCGTGTTTCTCAGTGTTGAACTTGAAAAATGATGCATCTCCGGTGGCTTTGGAGGCTTGTTGTGTGTTCTTCATGTTTTTGTACATAAGATAAATATCTGAGTTCTTATCTGCTCCTCTTTTCTGTAATTTCGATCAGGGTAGATAACTAGTGAACTGGAAAACTAGATGTTGGATCCTACCATACAAACACATATCATCATAGTGGCTGGTTTTGCACAAACGCAACTGCACGATATATTCGCGAAAAGTAAATTTCGCTTGTTGTGTTATCGGTACATAATACGGTATCAATGTGTGCTTTTGTATCCGACCAATCCAATTTGGCTGTGTAGTACTTTGAATCAGTGATTTAGTGTAAGAATGCTCGTCAACCGCAAACACTGAGTCAAATGTCGGGAAAGTGTCCTACCAACTCTGAAATCCGCCAAGCTGGTAGTGACTTCAATAAAGAGGGGATGTTGAGGAGGGGGCTCCTAACTTTACTCCGTAACACTGCGGATAAAATTCAAAGCTATGTGCTTAGAGCGGAACCTTCTACTATTAATCCGAACGAGTAAAAACGATAATGCAATTGCTCTGTTGTCATTTCAAGAGTCAATATGGTCTTTTTTCCTTTCGTATTTCAGAGGGGGCATCGTCCTATTTATCTTATTATTCCTCATATTCAGGAAACAATTCTCACTGGCAACGTTCTTTATGGCACTCATTGTAAGTTTCTTAGCAGCCTCAATATTGCAATCTATTCATTTGTTTTCTATGGTACAGTTCACTCGGAATTCAAAAACGCTTTTCCACAAGTTTAGAAAGCGAAAGCGGATACATGAATATAATGAAGTGATCGTACTGAGAGGATAAATTTCATTATGATGAAGCTACTTCAGAAATATCGTCTTGTAATGCTCTACATAGAAATTACTGCATAGTTCAGTATGTAATGATAAATGTCGTCAATTTATTATGGAACTGTTGTTAAGTGAATCCGTGAATCGCTTTGTTCCATAGTAGAATCTCTGCCTACAACAGTACGAGAAATCGTTTTGAATTGTCCAGGTCAACCCTGCTACTTCGCAGATTTGAGTCATGTCATGCTAAGGTGTGACAATAAGGGCAAAACTCAGATGGGATTTTACTTGATTTTAGCTTTGGATTACCTAAAATGATAAGTGAATAAAATCAATTTTTCTATCACCAGTGTAATGGAATCGGTAAATGCTCAAACGAAATCAAAATCATGATGAGACAAAATTTGAAAATTTTATTTTCTCTGAAAGCCAGTTAGAATTTCAGAGTGAAAAATGTAACCTCTTGCGATTCGCTGCACACATTTCTCTATAATGTTATTCATGAATAAAATGAATGTGCGAATTTAATTTCTTTTGTTCATTTAAACTTCTTCATTTTGGTTTGTGGTTAGATTTTATTGTGCACCACGAATATCTGTCTGGCGTGTTGCTCAGGATGGGATCTATGTTGTAACGTTTCAATTAGCTTCTGTGCTTTCGAAGATTTGCTAACAGTCATCTTGTGCGCCTTGATAAGACGCCATTCAACGGTGATCAGATTAAAAAAAAAAAAAAAAAAAAAAAAAAAAAAAAAAAAAAAAAAAAAAAAAAAAAAAAAAAAAAAAAAAAAAAAAAAAAAAAAAAAAAAAAAAAAAAAAAAAAAAAAAAAAAAAAAAAAAAAAAAAAAAAAAAAAAAAAAAAAAAAAAAAAAAAAAAAAAAAAAAAAAAAAAAAAAAAAAAAAAAAAAAAAAAAAAAAAAAAAAAAAAAAAATGCAGTTGGTAGCTCAAAGACTTAGGTCAGCCATCAAACGCACATTCTACGCCACATCTCTTTTTCTCACTCGCCGCACATTTTCGATCACCGTACTCAAGATTAAAGGACGAAGTTCTTTGGACTCTACTTCAAACTGTATCTACAAGTGCGGTGACACCTACATAAGTAGAACCAACAGAATGTCCCAATGTCGTCAAAAAGAACATGTTCCAAAATGGCTACTAAATCATATCGAAAATCCTAGTGCGATTAATCTTAATAGAAATCCAGCATCATCTATTGCAAAACACTTATTAATGTCTGGTCACAAAATCATAATAATGACTGTTGCACAATTATTTCACATAACTTTAATTCAAGGTTATTGAAGGTGATGGAAACACTTTGCATTAACCACATACAGCCTTAACTGTGTATACAAAAACAATGGACTTCAATCTTCACCTAGCCTGGACTACATGACCTATCTAGATATGATTATTCAATAGTATATACCTTTGTTTTTTATTTAACTGAGTAATTTTCATGAACTTTATTTTATCATTGTTAACCATGTTAGTTGTAAAGTGGTTGTAAAGAAACTACGAAATGATATCATCTCGCGAAATTTGTCTTCCTAATGCCTTATTGAAATTAATATTATCATTACTATTGTAAATCCCAATATTATACTTAATGAATGCGATTTCTTTCTCTGTTGTTCAATTGTTCATTTAAGTGATGTAATTTCACCGTCATGCCTTATTTCAATTCTTTTCTCTCGTGTACGATTCCTCTTATCCACCTGAACATGGTCTGAACGTTTTTACACGTATCACTTTGCATGAGTGATTCAATTTAACTGATTTCTTTATCAGTCTTATATCTCCCAATGCAATACCAATTTATATATATATATATATATCTGAATGTGTAGAGTATTCACCAAAAGAATTCTAACGAAATTGAATCGATTCATTAATTCCTCCTTTATTATCATATGTCGCCCCTTTTCATTCAGTGTATTTAAGAGTGCACGGCACGGCAAACACAAAACGACCATAAGAAAATAATGTCAAACTATTAAATTTTACACCCTGAGAAACTTACTGTTATTCCTAACAGGATCAATGCGATTTCAAAACTTCCGAATTTGAAAAAACTTAATGCCCAGAGAACCACAAGCACTACTCTAAAATACAAATAGAAAACTGCCTCATTGAGACATTCTTGAAAAAGATTCAATTCTGTGAGGGCTGGTGATTTTTATTAAATTTTGTTATCAAATACACAAATAACACTGTTAACTGGATGCTCATCCGTAACTTAACGTCGTTCATGTGCGTCGGTGGCACAGTGGTTAGGACTCTCGACGACCATGCACATGGTTCGGGGTTCGAGCCCACACCGGCGCACACCAGATATCTATGGTCGGCCTGCGAAATTTGGGCTACCGATATCCACGCTGAAAATTCCATACTTGTACCAAAAATACAGTGTGGAATCAAGCTGTTACCAAAAAAAAAATCACGGGTTCCAGATTCTTAATCATCGAAGCCACTAACAGTTAACAGAAGCAGACGTTTTCGTATACCAGGAGCAGTTGTAACACTATTTCCAATATACACTCGCTCATTTGGCTTCGTATGCTATGCCCTAGTTATTAGTTTATTGTTCGAATATGTAATCTTAAATAAGACCGATTCGATTAAGAGATACTGTGAAAATAAGGGTCAAGCAACTCGGCGTTCACTAGAAACACCAAATCAGCGAACTGGTCAATAATAATACAAGTGTCTAGAAAATTATGGATGATACCAAAATAAGCGGCCACTAACAAGGTGATCATAAGCGGTGTACATCTTTTATGCAGAAGTCGTAGTTCTCACTTCACATTGAGTTTGAATTTGACTATGTTGCCGAGAATGACTTTATGGTATTACTAGTACAACTGAGAAGCAGAAAAAACGAAACTTCATGATTTTCGGCAATTCACCTTTGGGAGGATAGGTGGTCTCACTGAGGTATTCTGGTCTAAGAACCCTGGTGAAGTTAAATATGCTACTAAAATAACGAAAATGTGAACAGAAAATTGCTTGAAATCCAGTCTCGCACTTGGGGCAGTAGTTGACATATCTGTTGCTCTAAAATCCATGGTTAAACGATCCAATTCCTAAATTTATAACCACAATCTGACATAAACGTATATAATGCCACTAACCACTAACATTGTTAATCTCAAAAATTACAGAAAGCGAGACTTACAAGCAAGAGCTAGCTTCAAAATATTTCCAATCGATACCAGAATTTTCAGCCACCTGCAGGATAAAGTATTCATTATAAATTTGATAAGATTCACAGAAAACCGATGCTTACAAAATTGAAAAACTGTCATGAAGTCGTAGTGGCGATTGTTACAAACCTGAGAAACGCTAAATTTGGAGAGAAAACAATTTTTCTTTAATGTTTTATTTTTAAACATGATAAGTGGTGTAAGATGTGAAGTGATGTTCGTATTCGAATTTCACAGGCTTCGAGAAATGCGGAGTACTCTGCACACAAAACACAACTAGTACTCAAATGTTCGAAATTAAAAAGACTCAGTCTGTGGCTATTATCGGTACATGCGTAAAAAGTTCACAACACTACTTCTCTGAGTTCAACAGTTTGGTTTACCTAAATGTAAGTTCCACTACACTACATTACACTACTCTCATAAACTACATATTCAGGTTCATAAGCAGCGATGAATGATGATCAAGAACTCTTCATGTTGATAACAGATGTCATGTTGAAGGGTGAAAAATGTTTCGACTTCAAGTTCATGCTCAGATATTTAGTAAATTGGTTGCCAATAAAATACAAAGAAAACTTTGTAGAGAGACATGATGAAACAGACACCCATTTTAAGTAAGATTTCTTTGATATTACGATGCCTTCTCAATAGTGATATCAAGTACTGAACTTCATATACCACTAAGCCATGAAATTCGAAGGCATTCGATAACAAGGAGAATGAATCTCTGGCGATTCTGAATAATCAAATGAAAATGGTAGTAAAGACATATGATCAGGTTTAAATTAGTTTGTTTAGAAAATGGAGCCACCTTACATCAGACGTCACGGTAATCACCTAGAGGAGTGCTCAAATCATGTGCAAATACATCCATGTCATTCTTAATACTTTGATTCATGTTTTTGTTATATTTATGATGAAGTGTCCAATAACTGGTACCAATGTCTTCCACTGACTGCGAAGTTTTATTATTGATAAGTATTGTCAAGTTGCAGCGTGAATATTCAGTTAAGAATTCAAATCTAAACTGACGCATTTAATCTGAACCAGAGTTATTTGAGTTATTTGATGAAAAGTGATGAATTCATTGAACAATTAGGCATCATAAGAACCGAAATTTAGTGATGTTAACTTAAATTTGGTTTTATACTAGATTCGTATGAAGTACAATAGTGAACACTTTGGTCTTCACTATGACAACATCTTGAGGGAAATTGAGACATACTTTTATCAGTATACGTATGAAAACATAACAACCCTAATTGTAAGAGTTAAACAGTTCTGTTCACTACAGTGAAGCCTTCGTTTGACACTACTGAAGTCAAATATAATAGTATATATATGTATATATATACATATTCTTTTTAGGTCCACAACATAAGTTGTGCTGAAGGGTGCAGGATGTTCGGACTCTAAATGATTGCTCAGAAATTTGAAAAATAGGATGCCAATAAAATACAAAGTGGAAGTGCAGGGATACATACTTCTTCAGAGTAGGATTTCTCTGAATAAGTGGTTAATGCTTTAGGTTGGTATCAAGTGATAAACCTCATAAACCATGAAATCATGAACTTCGAAGGCATAAGTTTGGGGACGACAGCAAAATGATAGTAACGACAAAAATTTTGAAAATTTAATTTCTTACCTTCAATAAACTAGTTATTTTAAGCTAAACGTTGAAGAACTGAATTAAATTAATGCTTAACTAACGTGTAATTATATTCACCCAATTCTTCGAACTTTGATTCATAGTTTTTTACATTCATGCTGAAGTGTTTGCTAATAAGTGTTTGATAATAAATTATTCACTATACGTCAATGTTTTCCTATTTTTCAGCATAATCAAGCTGAATAATCAAACGAAAACTGAAAAAACGCTTTAATTCATCACTGAAAAATACCTTACTTTGAACCGTGGTGTGTGATTTCATGAAAACTAGTTTGTTCATCTCTATGAACATCTCTATGTGAAAAACTAAAAAGAGTTGATTAAAACGTAAATTTTTGAAGTGATTTTTTGCTTGCTGTTCAGAGCGATTAGTGTCTACTAGATGAAATGAAATAACATCATAAAGGGTTTGACATCCACACTGACAGGATCTAGTAACAAAGTCAGATTCATTTTAGCATATGGTTAATTTTTAAGAGTATCTTAAAGAGATTATATGATGTCTGAGTTAAAATGCATCTTCATAATTAGACGTAACGATTAGAACGAACTGTATCTTGGAATTGGTAAAAACCTCTCAACGCTTATAGCAAGTCACTTATTCAGTATTAAATTGAGGAAAGTCCACTATTTGTCGATTGTTCGTAACTTCCATATTACCCAGACCTTTGTCACTTAAAAGTTGAGGTTATGTGCTCTAGAGGATTCTGTTCAAATAGTATGTGAATTACCTTGAGTGGGTAACATTTTAATCCTATAATGCGATCGAGTAAATAGCCGTGACTGCTAGTCACTCCCCGTTTTTTTGGACAGGTAAATCTTTCAACTCCAACTTTAACACTTGTGTCCTTCTAAGTATAAGAATAGTTTCAGTTCATCAATCGTATATTGTCACACTGGTGAAACAAAGGAGATCGTACCCATATCCTCTCAGCGTCATAAAAAGACGTTTGAGAGAATAAATATTTGAATGATTAAGTGATTTATGTTACTCACAAAGCTGCACAACTAATGTCGGACATACAGTTTGTATCACAAAATATTGTAAACTGTGAGCAATTTGATCGCATATTGCTGATATTTGTGTAAGTAATATCACACAGAAGTGTTCTTTATGCTTCAAAGCATTCACTCTGTAGACGCGACTCATTGTTCTATGACTTGAAACTTCAGGCTTATCACGACATCAAGGTAATTATGAGACTCTATGTAATCTATCACTTATCCATGACGGTTAACCGAAAGGTATCCTCCTTCTTCAATTTTAAGTAGGTGCTATAGCTACTGTCCAGTAAGATAATGATAGCTTCTCAACTAAACCATCCAACACAGTGAACACAACTACATTATGGATAAGATTTTATTTTGATAAATTATAAAGTGTTAAACAGTAATATTAACTGTATAACCCTGTGTGATTTATCAAAATAAAACCTTATCCATAATGCACTAACAAAACTACACCAAAATCATCCATCTGAGCTACAAATCTTCTCTAATATGATCAACTTTATTAAGTAGATTAGATGAAATAAATGAAGTAATCAATATTGCATAACTCCATCTAGTAGTTTTAGGCACCGATTTCCCCTGTATATTTTGAGTCACATTTATTGGGCTATAAACCTCAAAAACATAAAGAAAATTAGAACTTGAGAAAGGTATATTCAGAATATGAATCAGACTAGTTCACACTAAATGCAGAAATGCTCAGCATAATTCCCAGAAATGACAGTGGGTTAGTAAGAAGAGGTTAAGTGTTCCTAGATATCTCCAATTAATCATTTTCGATGACAGTAATTCAGTCACTGCGGCTGCTTGAAACGGTAAAGTCAAGTACTTAAGGTGCACATTGAAGTGAGCACGGAAGATATTGACAAAATGAGCATTGCAGTCAGATTATTTATTTGGAAGTAGACAATCTCATCGAAATCGTTTACTCAATCCATCATTAATTTAAAACTAAAGTACTTCGTGAAATTGAAATAATCATCGTCCTGTGACTTATAAACTTTACACGCCCAATATTTTGTTGCTTTCAGGTTTGAAAAAGTTCCTTAATAAAAATGTGCTCACAATAACTCTGTATCGTGTGCCGACTCTTTGCTTCGATATCAATGATTTTGTGTGTTTGTTTGTTCAGCATTCAAAAATAACTTACAAAATTCAACTACTATAGCAAAAATCATCTTCTATCAAATGTGATAACATTAAACCACTATAAACGTACTATGATCATTGTATATATATAAAATTTCGTCAATAATTTTTTATTGAAGTCATATTAATATAAACGTGAGTAAAAAAGTGAATATGCTTAACATACAGAATTTGATACGCATGATCTCGGTTATTATTCGCGTCAAGCAAGTAAAATGATAGTCAGGTTTAAAGTAGCCTTTTTCAACTCTTCACTATATGGTCTTTCTCATAGAGCAATTTTCGTAAAAATTAATTATCTTTATTATAACTTTCGCTTCCGAGTGGAACAAACGGCTTCAGCAGCATATCTCCAGGATGGGTAAAATTTTATTTTGATAAATCATATCCATACTGAAGTGATACTCTGCCGACATGCCCACGTTTTATACTGATATCAGCATATGTCCATTTCATCCCGTTTTATGTAGTTCTCTTTAGCTGGTTCTAATGTCACCCATCAGCTCTTATCACCTCCACATTACAAAGTCGCCTTCCATGCCAAACTCTTATTCACGTTCAACTGAATGGTTCCTATTCAGTTTCCATGCAAGCCATAGACAGGAGTTTGATAGCCCAATAATTACTGCTGTATTCAAAACGGATATAAGTTTTTATTCACGTCATTCACTTGATTGAGGTATATCCTTCCATATAAAAAATAGATATGTTCCTCTTGGAACCCATAAATATATGTCTAGTGTGCGTTGGTGGCACAGTGGTTAGGACTCTCGCCGACCATGCACATGTTCCGAGGTTTGATACCCTGCCGACGCACACCTGATATCTATGGTCGGCCTGCAAAATTTGGGCTACCGATATCCATGCTAAAAATTCCATACTTGTACCAAAAATACAGTGTGGAAACAAGCTGAAATCAAAAATATAAATAAATAAATAGATAAATACTGTCTAGTAATATTATTAAATACTAATATTATTTTAAATATTATAGAATTTGTCTTTATGAAAATCTCCAACTATGCTCATATAAGATTTCCGGTCTAATCTCAGTGCATAAATTGATGTCAATTTTTGAAGAATATTTCACTCTGTTCCCAGCGTCTAAGAATAAGCTACTACAACGAGATATCCCTTTGAGATATTATATCTGGGTAAGCATATCTTGTATGATTTGTTAAGGAGATTATTTCGTATCTCTATGTTTTAATGGATGCGGTTTTTATGATACTGATGACTACAGCTGTACTCGTCTTGTTCACCAAATTGTAGGATCGAATTACCATTGTGAATACTTAATACTATGCTGATTTACTGACAAATAATTTCCAGTCTTTAGGCATCATTTCTATGTGACGTTTGTTATTGTGTAAGTTTTCTGCTCATTATTATATTTATGTCTTCATTTTTGAATTAACTTTCCATAAAAATCACAGAACGGAATTCACTTGTAATACAGAAAATTGTAATGTAACATTTCAGTGAAAGTTCAATTAGTACTATAATTTTTGTTGGACTTCATAGTAAAGAAAGCCTGTCAATATAGATTGAACTTATTATATGTACGAGGAATACGATTTCAAAATGTCTTGTACAAGATCTCAGTATATCCGAGTTGCTTATGTCAAGTGCTATTAAACTTTTGAGAATATATTCGGTGATCCGCTACTTATTTGAAATAAACGATTGTTTTTCGAGTTTTAGCTTTCAGGGATCGCATCTACTAAGCGTTCCACCACAGATCGACATGGGTAAGAGAACGACTGGCAGTCAGTCTGGAGTAGACAGCTGGTTCATGCAAGTTTAGGACTCGTCATCGGTACACACTTATTAGAGATCAAACCAAGGAACTTCCAGTTACGTGTCATACTCGGAAATTTTTCAGCCACTGTGACCCGACTCAATGTCCAGCGCAAGAATTCTAACTCCTATTGATCCATAAATTCACCAGGAGCAATAAACAGCGCCATGGGCATGTATTTGTTCTCACTGTCAATCGGAAGGACCTCACCATTCACGACGTCTCACTAGAAATTCAGACAACTTAGTCCGGTAACCATTCGATAGGCAGCATCAGATGACTGGATTTGCAACAGTTATAGCTATTGGCAACTGCTTTGATCGGCATCAGTACAGAATTATTATTAGATATTATTTAACTAAGTAGGTTATTTTGTCTAAATAGTTTAATGGAGACTGAAGGTTGTTTCATATTAGCTTGTTTGTTACATGTATAACACACTGAAACAGTATTATTTACTGGATAACGTTTCGAACAACATTTTATTGTTCATAATCATATAAATTCTGATCACACCACTTCGAAACTTGTGTTTTAAAGATCTCTATATCCTCTTCTATTTGCCATCAAGGTAGTAGGATTTTCCAGATAACTGGGACAAGTGTTGAATCACTCCTATTACACTTATTCTCTTCAGTTGATTCGATAAACAAATCTTCTGTTATCAATCTCTCCCTATACCCTGTGACATAAGATTTTGAAACTGTCATCCTTTCGCATACAACTGTGTGATTATGTGTAACTCCTGAACTATTCTCTAGATTTCTTATCTTATTTGGGTCGACCAATCTAAACTTTGCTAGGTTTTTATGTTCGGCTAGTCTGACTGCCCTTGTTACACTAGTTTGACCTATGTATTTGACCTGACAATCATTGCAGGGTATTAGATAAACTAAATTGTTTTGTTTTAAAGGCTCCACAGCAGGATCCTTTAACAGACGAAGCTTGTTTCTAATTGAGTTTTTGGGTTTGAATGCCACTTTTATTCCTGTCTTATTAAGAACTCTGCGTAAAGTTTCCAAGCATCCCTTCTTGTATGGAGTTACTACTGATGATTAAGTTTCCTTACTGTTGGTGTCTCCATTGATATTATTATTAATACTAACATTATCATTATTATTATTATTACTGTTATTATTATCGTTATTATCACTATCATTATTGTTATTATTATTATCGTTATTATTACTATCACTATCGCTACTATCACTATTTATTTTACTTTTACACTGCTCTACATATTTCCCGACTAATTTATCTGGGTAATTATTTAGTTTCAAGGCTTCTCTCATATATATCACTTACTGTCTTAGATTATCCTTGCTACTACTTACTTTCTGCGTTCTGTCACTTAAACATTTCACTAATCCTATTTTTACTGATATAAGATGAGATGATCGGAAGTTCAGATATATTTTTAAATGTATGGGTTTCCTGTACACACTATTGTTTATGTTGTAGTTTCGTTCTGTGAGCTGGAGAGAGAACACAACCACATCAATATCATCCACCTGAGCCACAAATCTTCCATATCATATCTAACACTGGTGTTTAACTTCCCATCTTCTTTCATTTTTACACTAAAATTTAACATTGTCAGTTCCCCTTCTTGACTTTCCAATTCATAAGTGAACTGAATTACCTCTACTTTGAGTTAATGTTCCCGAAAAATCTATCAATATTTTGTGTCCTAAGTATAGTGAATGTGTAATCTACATACCTTAAGATAGTAAGGTCGACAATCGTGAATATTAACCAAATCTTTGCCACTTTTAGAATCTTAGTGCTCAGTGTAAGCATGCTTCATATAATAACTTCTTCTGTGCAGGACTCTTATTAATATTCCATCTTATATCTGTACAGACAATAGTCCAGAGTGTCAATGTATTGTTAACCGGATAAGATAGACTATTGCTGCTGGTGAAGTGTCCCGGAGCGTGAAACTGATCTCCCTAAGTAATTTAATGTGCAAAACGTGTTAAGGTTCATGTAGCTTTTATCAGAAAACCATTTCTATGTGTAACCGATTGAGTTTGTTCAGTTTTCATCCTAATCAGTTTCAATGTGTAAATAATACTACTGATAGAAAAGAAAGTAATATGTATGTTTCAGGATTTCATCATGAGCTGACGATAGTTAGATAACCATTGGAAAACCTGGGAGTACTTGACAGCTGTTTCGTCCTAGTT